ATCATAATAATGGGTATTACCCAAATGGCTGTTAACATTAACCAAAAAGATCTTGTACATTGTCTGTGTGACATGACTTACTCATGTACTTACATTAGTATCATTTGATCAACCATACATGTTTTGATTGCATAAACACGACTTACTTATCTTCTTCTTTGATCAGCCATACATGTTTTCATCGTATAAACTTACTCACCATATTTCTTGGGATACTTTGATCAACCATACATATGTTTTTGTAGTATAAACATGACTTACTCGTCTTCTACTTTGATCACCTAAGCTTTTTTTTCTGTGTTAGCAAGACCTGCTCATCTCATCTTATGCTTTTTTGCAATGTCGTATATAAACCTTTGCAAGTTTCACACTCAGCGTCAAAATGGCAAATCTTCAGAGCTGAATTTGTAACTTCACATAGAGGCGGTCAACATGGGCTTCATGCTGGATACCGATACAGACAACGCCAGATTACCCAGTAATATCTGGAACCAGCACGAGAACACTGGACCTCGCTCAAACAACCACCTGGAGGGGTTTCACAATGGACTAAAGAGGAGAATGCCCCACAATGCAACTGGACGAAAAACTGTGATGCAGTTTCTAGATGCAGTTGGACACTTACATTAATTGTTCTGTGACTGAATTATGTATCACCTCTGATGATGATGTATGTGAGTGACTTATGTGACTGATCATGATGATGATATTGGTATTTTAACTTGTTGAATGTATGACCTTATTAAGCGTACTTAGAATAAATCATCAGTGCAAAAGTTTATTTACATTAGTGGAAGTATACCTCATTAGTGGAAGAGTCCACTTTTCTAAAGGTATAACAGCATTTACGTGATTTGCAGTCAACCCTAAATTTGTTTTCATAAGGGTGTAGGCGATATGAGGTGTAGGCGATATGAGGTGTAGGCGATATGAGGTGTAGGCGATATGAGGTGTAGGCGATATGAGGTGTAGGCGATATGAGGTGTAGGCGATATGAGGTGTAGGCGAAATGAGGTCAGACCCTTATGACAAGCATTGGTTGCTAAAGATAAATTCTAACCTGAATCTACACAAGTCTTGCATCAGTGCATGATTTTTTAATATTATAAACACAACGACCAACATGTATGACAAGCAGACAATTTTGGTTTATACGAGTGAAACCTGTTTGTCTGCATGTCTATCTGCAAAACTTGACTGAACATCATACATATCACCTTGATTAGATAATATTACTTTACAAGAAGTGGGATACTTCAACCAGGGCCTAGATTTTCGAAGCTCTCTTAGCGCTACGATAGTCGTAAGTTAATGTTAATGTATGGCACTTACGACTATCTTAGTACTAATGAGCTTCGAAAATCTAGGCCCAGGGCTCCAAATAAAGACTCGATCAACTCATGTTAATATTAACACTGGGTACCAATAAAAGGTGAGAATTTATTGGTGTCAACTTCTTTATTGTGAGGAAGACAATGTTTCGGAGTATAATCTTACTCCTTCATCACTTGAAAAAATAAGAATATACATAATAAAGAAGTTGACAGTTATAAATTCTCACCTCTTGCTTTAGGCCAGACCAATTTTATTTCTTGTTTCATGGATCCGCCTGTCATATTTTTTCAAGAATAAGATTTTTTTAATATAAATTTTCCATATGTTTTTATTGGACAAAAATGTAAACTTACAGAAAAAGTTTTTTTCAGATTTTTTTTGCCCCATATACACTTCATAAATTGCCAACAGTAAAATACTTTGAGTATTTAGAAGGAATATTACCTTGACTGGTGATTTTATTTTTATTTCTTTTCCTTCCTGCATTTAGGTTTTCTGAGGACAAAAATCCTTAAAACAAGAAATAAAATTGGTCTGACCTTATTTCTAAATGCCGTCCAAATACTGGGTACCAATAGTTATTGTAGGGTAGGCATGCCTTTTATCTTTACACTCCGGGTTGGAGTTTATCTGGCATTGTAATCTGATGAGTGGACTTATATGAAAATAATTCTAAATCCTAATACATGCTTACTTCGCTGTTTCAGGTTACCTTTATCTGGCATGTGTTTGTGTGCTGCTCAAGATGAGTCACCGAATCTCATAATACAATAAGCAGGCAGAGGAACCCATTTTCACTTCCTGCCTTCATTTAGTCAGTGAGATTTAAGACATAAGTGTCATCAAGCTGAAAATGACACAAATTACAAGTGTACAGAGTTTATAGTCTTTGACAGCCATTAAGTAGTTGCAAGATGTAGCTCTGAATCATCGTGACGATAACGTACTTGTTATCCATAAAAAGGGTGATGTATTCATACACAGTGTGTCATACTGTTGGGGTTTCAAATTTATAATGCCTATCTGCACACAGGCAATTCAAAATTAACTAAGTTACAACGCTGCTAATACATTTATCATGGTGATCAGAATTGAGTATGACAAGGTGATCAATACTGAGTATGTCATGGTGATCAATACTGAGTGTCTCATGGTGATCAATACTGAGTATGACAAGGTGATCAATACTGAGTATGTCATGGTGATCAATACTGAGTGTGTCATGGTGATCAATACTGAGTATGTCATGGTGATCAATACTGAGTGTGTCATGGTGATCAATACTGAGTATGTCATGGTGATCAATATTGAGTATCACAAGGTGATCAATACTGAGTATGTCATGGTGATCAATACTGAGTGTCTCATGGTGATCAATACTGAGTATGACAAGGTGATCAATACTGAGTATGTCATGGTGATCAATACTGAGTGTGTCATGGTGATCAATACTGAGTATGTCATGGTGATCAATACTGAGTATGTCATGATGGTCAATACTGAGTATGTCATGATGGTCAATGCTGGGTATGTCATGTGATCAATACTGAGTATGACAAGGTGATCAATACTGAGTATGTCATGGTGATCAATACTGAGTATGTCATGGTGATCAATACTGAGTATGACAAGGTGATCAATACTGAGTATGTCATGGTGGTCAATACTGAGTATGTCATGGTGATCGATACTGAATATGTCATGGTGATCAATACTGAGTATGTCATGGTGATCAATACTGAGTATGACAAGGTGATCAATACTGAGGATGTCATAGTCATCAATACTGAGTATGTCATGGTGGTCAATACTGAGTATGTCATAGTGATCAATACTGAGTATGTCATGGTGATCAATACTGAGTATGTCATGGTGATCAATACTGAGTATGTCATGGTGGTCAATACTGAGTATGTCATGGTGATCAATACTGAGTATGACAAGGTGATCAATACTGAGTATGTCATGTGATCAATACTGAGTATGTCATGGTGGTCAATACTGAGTATGTCATGGTGATCAATACTGAGTATGACAAGGTGATCAATACTGAGTATGTCATGTGATCAATACTGAGTATGTCATGGTGGTCAATACTGAGTATGTCATGGTGGTCAATACTGAGTATGTCATAGTGATCAATACTGAGTATGTCATGGTGATCAATACTGAGTATGACAAGGTGATCAATACTGAGTATGACAAGGTGATCAATACTGAGTATGTCATGGTGATCAATACTGAGTATGACAAGGTGATCAATACTGAGTATGTCATGGTGATCAATACTGAATATGACAAGGTGATCAATACTGAGTATGACAAGGTGATCAATACTGAGTATGTCATGAAGATCAATACTGAGTATGTCATGGTGATCAATACTGAGTATGACAAGGTGATCAATACTGAGTATGTCATGGTGATCAATACTGAGTATGTCATGGTGGTCAATACTGAGTATGTCATGGTGGTCAATACTGAGTATGTCATAGTGATCAATACTGAGTATGTCATGGTGGTCAATACTGAGTATGTCATGGTGATCGATACTGAATATGTCATGGTGATCAATACTGAGTATGTCATAGTGATCAATACTGAGTATGTCATGGTGATCAATACTGAGTATGTCATGGTGATCAATACTGAGTATGTCATGGTGGTCAATACTGAGTATGTCATGGTGATCATTGCTGAGTATGACAAGGTGATCAATACTGAGTATGTCATGTGATCAATACTGAGTATGTCATGGTGGTCAATACTGAGTATGTCATGGTGGTCAATACTTAGTATGTCATAGTGATCAATACTGAGTATGTCATGGTGATCAATACTGAGTATGACAAGGTGATCAATACTGAGTATGACAAGGTGATCAATACTGAGTATGTCATGGTGATCAATACTGAGTATGACAAGGTGATCAATACTGAGTATGACAAGGTGATCAATACTGAGTATGTCATGGTGATCAATACTGAGTATGACAAGGTGATCAATACTGAGTATGTGATGGTGATCAATACTGAGTATGTCATGGTGATCAATACTGAGTATGTCATGGTGATCAATACTGAGTATGTCATGGTGGTCAATACTGAGTATGTCAAGGTGGTCAATACTGAGTATGTCATGGTGATCAATACTGAGTATGTCATTTCTGAACTCTGCACAGAGAATCACAGCGCCGCCAATGACTGGGCCACCTTAATTACCAGACTAAGGTTCCAATATATTGAATACTTTCCTCATCAAGCATACAGAATTTGTTATTCATATTTTGGATTCAGACAACTGGTGATCATTAGGTAAGGCATACAACTCTATGATAACAACTTCTTGTTTATTGCATAGAACAACCTTAGGTATAGACGTTTACACCAACTAGAGAGCTGATCAAATCTTTGGACATTAGATCTTTAGGATACAACATATTTTTGGGGTCGCTGCTTCTAAATGAACAATCTTCTGCTTAAATATGAAGACAAACTATTGTTTTCACACTCACAACATATTTTTTCCGGTCGCTAATAAACAATCTATTTAACAAAATGAGGTAAAATGAGTCCTGTATCTTCAGGAACAAATCAAATTATTGCTTTCCAAACAATTAGGAGGACACAATACAGTACAGAAATAACACGCTGTGAGGAGGAAACCCACTGCAATAACCACATGCCTAACACAATCAAATTATTGAGGTAGATAGAGGACCAGGGGCCATAAATAGCCTGTATTAATATAGCTGACACACTTGTCAGTACACTTCGGTGGCGTATCACTTGAACAAATGCAGTCATGCCGAGACCTGACAGTTGAACAAATATTGGCGATGGAGTCTTAGAATAAAGCCATACAGGTTGGAGATGACACAAAGTTCAGGGTGAGTGAGTTGGGTTTTACGCCGCTTTTTTTTAGCAATATTCCAGCAATATCACGGTGGGGACACCAGAAATGGGCTTCACACATTGTGCCCATGTGGGGAATCAAAACGGGTCTTCAGCGTGATGGGCCAACGCTTTAACCACTAGGCTACCTCACCACCCCTACTGGTCAGGAGCAAGCTGTTACTTGATCATCTTCATCAATCAGGATCAGTATGTATTCAACCTACCCATGTTAGCTGGTCAGTAGTTATCCTAAATCTCAACAACAAATGTCAGATCATATGTCCTATAGTCAAACCTTGAAAACATATTTCAGAATATTAATTAGCAATTCAAAACAAAATGTCCAATTTTCAGACTGGGGCGTTACTCGTATTATGATTTCAACCAATTTGGACACAAGAAATGGGCTTCACACTTTGTACCCATATGGGGAATCGAACCCAGGTCTTTGGCGTGACAAGCGAACACTTTAACCACTTGGCTACCCCACCACCCCACAAAGTACAGAGATTTGGTAGATGTGATTGTTTCCAGACAACACAAAATGTTCATAACATCAATCACTTTTTTCAGGCCCAAACTTCATTTTGTACAGGCTGTCAAAATAACTGCATGGTTAGGCCGCTATGATTCAGTAGCGTATTCGGTGAATCGTACAGTAAAATGTCATGAATTCAATTCATTATTCGTGATCACTTGAGTAGCCATTACTTTTCAGAGTGAATGAGTGAGTGAGTTTACTTTTACGCCACACTCAGCAATATTGCAGCTTTATGGCGGCTGTCTGACCAGACATTCCAGTGATCAACAGCATGAGCATCGATCTGCGCAATTGGGAACCGATGACACGTGTCAACCAAGTCAGCAAGCCTGACCACCCGATCCTGTTAGTCACCTCTTATGACAAGCATGGGTTACTGAAGGTACATTCTAACCCGGACCTTCACGGGTCTACTTTTCAGAAAGGAAATTACTTCAATATGGGTGTTATTTATCAAAGCAAAATGGACTATATCAAAATCAGGCAGGATAACAGTCAACACTCACATATACATAACTTGACAGTAATTAGATCACTGGTCATTGACATGACACTGTAACACTATGGTGAAAGCATGTCACAGAATATATCTTGTTATAATCTCACAGCTGCTTACTTGTTAGACTCATTTCCTAATATTCACGTTACCCAAGATTCGTGGTATGAATCAGATTCACCTGAACACTGCATAATACTAAGTGAGTGAGTGAGTTAAAATTTAAAGTCACATTGGCAATATTTCAGCCATATCGTGACTAAAACTAGTTTTAAATTCATAATACATACATATAATATATAAAACCCTGTCAACGCAGGACAAAATAGGCTATACATCGCCAGCAACTGAAGGCTGATCACCATGCTAGGGACTTACAGTACTTTGGCTACCTGCATGGACCCTAGCTCGATTTACACCATCCCTTCAGCCACTGGTAATTGTAGTGAAATTTAGCCATTATTTAAAACAACAATTATTCTACGATTAAAATATTTTTCAATTTCCAAGATTCATGATTTGAATCATAATCACCCCACCACTGCATAGTACTAAGCGTATCATTAAACATGTTCGAGGGGGTGGTGGGTAACCTAGGTTCAATTCCCCACAGGTATAATGTGTGAATCCGATTCCTGGTGTCCCCTGGTGATATCGCTAAAAGCAGCTTAAACCAAACTTACTCACTCACTCACTCAAACATGTTAAACGACCAAAAAAACACTCTTTAATTTATTAACATGGGCGAGCCTGCCTCGAATCAAATCCCAATTTTTCACACACAAAGCATCTAGATATTTTTTCAATTCCTGATTCCTTCCACAAATGCATCAAGTTTTGTACCCTGACATCTCAAACTACATTTAAACAGGGCTGTAGTTCTCATAGAAAGACCTCAAAAGCAAGTATATAGAAAGTAATATACTCTGGAGCTTTCAGTCCTTTCTTCATGACAAAAAAACTTTGAAATGTTTATGAACCTCATTTCAAAATGTTCAATCTGATTGGTAGGCATATTACAAGTTAACGAATACTAAGAAAGGTATGATTCTTTAGGAATGACAACTTTTTAAAATTATAATGTGACGTTTTGGTATAGATTCTTATACCATTGTCAAGCAAGACAATGGTTTAACGGAATAATAATCTATACCGAAACATCACATCACAATATAATAAGAAGTTGTCATCCATGAAGTATCATACCTTTCTTCTGTTCAGTCCATCATGTTATTATTATACCTTTCTTCTGTTCAGTCCATCATGATATTATTATACCTTTCTTCTGTTCAGTCCATCATGTTATTATTATACCTTTCTTATGTTCAGTCCATCATGTTATTATTATACCTTTCTCCTGTTCAGTCCATCATGTTATTATTATACCTTTCTTCTGTTCAGTCCATCATGTTATTATTATACCTTTCTTCTGTTCAGTCCATCATGTTATTATTATACCTTTCTTCTGTTCAGTCCATCATGATATTATTATACCTTTCTTCTGTTCAGTCCATCATGTTATTATTATACCTTTCTTCTGTTCAGTCCATCATGTTATTATTATACCTTTCTTCTGTTCAGTCCATCATGATATTATTATACCTTTCTTCTGTTCAGTCCATCATGTTATTATTATACCTTTCTTCTGTTCAGTCCATCATGTTATTATTACAGCTTTCTTTACCATGGCACGTCAACCATGATACTTTCGAACCAGTACACTATAGTAAGCACCGCAGGACATATTTACACTTCAGATAATCGACCTGACTCATCCAGTGCACTCAAATAACCCTACTACAGGTACTTCAGACATATTCTTTGCTGTTGCTATTCAGATGGGTATAATCAGGGCCTGTCATAACAATGATGACCTTCGAAGTACACGTGAACGTTACCAGCGATCTATGCTGCACTGCAAACATTATTTTTGAAGAATAAACAAGCTAAGGATTGTTGACACAAAGGACAACCTATACAGCTATTTTGGTTTGTTGTTTGAAATAAGTTTATTGAATTTAGTCTGACATTAGAGCTTGGTTACTGACATCTATATTGTTTTGTTGGGATGTTTTGAGTGCACTCTGGAAATTTGTATGTACCTCAGTAAATTTGATTGCAGGTTCTTCTGTTTGAAATTTGTATGCACCTCACGAAATTTGTATGCATGCTTTAAAATTTGAAATTTGTATGCACCCCTTAAAAATGTTGAAGCATGCAGGTACACCCTAGAACTTAAAACATAGAAGAGCAATAGACAAACACAGAATTTGATAGGACTGCAGTGAATAAACCTGTAGTATACTCTTAAAAAAAGTAGGGGAACTTCATTTTTTCAGAGTCAATCAATGTTGATATGATAATAATGAATATTTTGAGAGTACATCACCACTTGCACTTCCTTATGACCATAGTTGTTTGTACAGTAATTGCTCTTAAAAGATGATTGGTGTATGACGTGAAATTTACATGTGTATGATTTTCATTTTCAAACAAAATAAGAACAGCTAGAAACAAACACTAAGAGCTGTGTGACGTAAGATGATCGTCAAAATTAATTGTTTACAGTGATTTACCTGCCTTCTTGAAAACCATCAAAATCAAGAATAACACCAATGCACGGGTATGGGGCTTGTGCGATGTGGACGTGCATCCCATGTGTTGTGTTGAGGGGTGCTGATAAAGTGAGTGAGTTTAGCTTTACGCCACACTCAGCAATATTCCAGCTATATGGCGGCGGTCTGTAAATAATCGTGTCTGGACTAGACAATCCAGTGATCAACAACATGAGCATCGATCTGCACAATTGGGAACCGATGATATGTGTCAACCAAGTCAGCGAGCCTGACGACCCGATCCCGTTAGTCGCCTCTTACGACAAGCATTGCTTACTGATGATCAATATTCTAACCCCGACCTTCACAGGTCGTCGTGATAAAGAGAAATCATGGTGCTTTCATAAGATGTCTGTCTTTGAAACGTTTGTTTACACTTATATTTTCTATCCAAATTGAAAAGTTCAGGTTGCTCTACTTTTTTTTAAAGCATATATAAAGCGAATATGACACATATTGGGTAACGAGTACAATAACAAATCATCAGCAGATGTATTATTCATTATATTATATAAAGCAATAGGAAAATACTTTTTGAACCGGTTTTGACTAGTGTTGGGAATTGGTTAAAACTTCATAATTGATGATTGCTACATTACAACCGATCAATCATCGAAAATAATTGGTTAGCGTCAATTATGAAATTTTCCTGTTTTTTTTTGTTTTTGTTTTTTTGTTAATGAAAAAAAATACATAATGAAAAAACATGTAGTTCTTTGGGGGTTTTTTGGGTGGCAAATTTCACATCTTGAAAGGATAAAATTGCTTGAGTCTTTAAGATAAATTCAATCATGACTTGGAACAAGCTTGTAGTGGTTATGAAATGTAACTAAAAAACCAACAATGTGAAAAATATTGTTAATGCAAAAAGTGTTCCAGAATTGTTTGTGTTCGATTATGAGAAAACATGATCGATTGCTTGGTTGTTTAGTCACTGCGACCAATCTTCGATTATTTCAATTAATCGGACCACCACTAGTTTTTACCATTTTCATTAATCTGTCAACAACAATAACCAGTGACCATGTTACTGTCAAATTAAATGTACGAGTGTTGACTATTATCATGCATATCATGCTTATCTCACTTTGACAAGTAACGCCTAAATTCAAGCAAAATACACCCCTTTTTTATAACATACATCAATACTAGTATTTGATTTTAATGGTAGTGAATAATGAACTGAATTCATGACAGGATAGGGTTCCATTCACTGAACATGTGTGTAACAGCCGTATTCTTTAACAAATAAAACATTGTAACATTCAAGGGCATGACACACTGCTCGGGAATATTGTTTTATATGAGAGAGAGAGAGAGAAAAAGAGAGGTTTTATTCCAGCAGGGGACACCAGAAATGGGCTTCACATAATGTACCCATTTGGCAATATCATTTGAATTTTTAGCTTGATAATGATATTATCGAAGAATTTATATTGGACAGGAGTGAGTGAGTGAGTATGGTTTTATGCCGCTTTTAGCAATATTCCAGCAATATCACGGTGGGGACACCAGAAATGGGCTTCACACATTGTGCCTATTTAGGGAATCAAACCCGGGTCTTCAGCCTGATGGGCCACCGCTTTAACCACTAGGCTAACCCACCATCCCTACTGAACAGGAGAAAGCTCTAACTTGATCATCTTCATCAATCAGGATCAGTATGTTTTCAACCTACCCATGTAAGCTGGTCAGTAGTTATCCTAAATCTCAACAACATAAATATCAGATTATATGCCCTATAGTCAAACCGTGAAAACATCAGAATATTAATCAACGTCAATTAATAATTTTTCATTGATGTTATTACAATCATTTTCAAAATCAAAACCATGGTTATGGGGACATTACTAATTCAAAACAAAATGTCCAATTTTCGGACTGGGGCGTTACACATATATTTCAACCAATTTGAATTTTAAAATGAAAACCCCACATTGACAATTTTGTACCATTATTCACTTTTGATTTGACAACGGTTTAAGAAACTTCACCGAAACATCCCTCTATACAACAAACAAGAAGTTGTTATCCGTAAAGTTTCAATCTTCGTTACCTTCATACATAACAGAACATCTGGCATTGTTCCACATATGGAAAAGACCATTCAGAACAGAGAGTAAAAAATTCATGCTGTTTCTTTAATTACTGCAGCACTCTGCGATATTCCAGCTCTATGGCAGTAGTTTGTAAATAATTGAATCTGGACCAGACAATCCAGTGATCAACAGCATGAGCATTGATCATGGAACACGACTGGAAAGTCAGTGAGCCGGACAACCCGATCCTGTTAATCACATGAAAATGCATGTGATAAACTCAGTCACATTGACATGTCAAATAGATTCCACATCAAGAGTCATTACATCTCAAGGTTCCCCACAAACATGTCATGTAACATGTAGGTCATGCATGTCTGCCATTTGTACTTGTTACCAATGGTTACATAAACATGATGAACGGGACAGGCGGACAACTGACCATTGTCCTCTACAGAGACCACACACCCTAACCATGCTTCACTCCACCATGTGCAAGTCTGACCACTTAAGTACTTGAAGTAGGACACACCTGGGTCAGTGTCACATCCCTTAGTCCGTCTCACAGTCCCTGAACCACATTATTTTCCCTCCTGACAGCCCTTTCTGCAATGCTAAAGCCCTTAATGAAGCAAGTCTAGATTTCTTCAGTTTCAGGCGGAATCTCCCTTCTTACCTGGGCTTCTTTTCAGTCTAAAAGAATTATTTGTTTCTATCATCATTATATATATTCAGAGACTAAGTGTTAGTCTAACAGTCTCTCAGCCTTGTTAGTTTCCCTTCCATTCAGCCCTTAACAATGTCAATGTGACACTACAGCTCAAGTTTGATGTTCTGTTTTCTGTTAAGATGTAGCTTTTTGTTTGTTGCATTAACTAAGTGTTTGTCTACCAGATAAAATTAGGGGAAAGATCTTTCTCAGTCTTTTCTCCAACTTTTGGGAGAGCTCACTACCCCTTTGCATCAGAACTTGCAAACTGACGTCTTTTGTTATTTCTTTAGAGAAACCTATCAGCAATGTACTCCTCACAGTGCCAATGAGAACTTTACTTAGTTCTAAGTCTGGTGCTATATAAATGAATTATCATGCTTATTATTACCCACGGTGTGAAATTATATCCATCAACTGATCAGCTTCTGTCCGCCATCTGCTGCCCACTAATACAAATCTAGGACTCATGCCTTCCTAACGTTCTGCTGGAGTCTGATACGGATTATGCATTCATTCACAAGTCCGTCACACAACATGCTACAGAAAATAGGTAGGCATGGAAATTTACACAAGTACACTACTCCAAGACTAGTCTGTGTCAGTCCCTGAACAACATTATTTTCCCTTCTGCCAAACCCATTCTGCAATGCTAAAGCCATTAATGAAGCAGGATTTCCTCTGGTTCTGAATCTCGCATGTCATAGGAGCTCATTTTCAATGTATATGGGGATATTTGTTTCGTTCAAAACTATATATTAGGAGACTAAGCATAAGTCTAGTCAAATACTAGTACAATTCAGGAAGGACTGGACCTTATAGGTGATTTTCATTGAAAGATTCTCTTAGTTGAATAAATCTACAAAAGTTATTTCCAACGAAAATAATTGTTGTATTCTTCATACCTTAAGCTTGTTCACGTGTTATATCCAAAATTATTTCCAGAATCAATAAAAGCTACCTTTCAACTTAAAAATTTAAAAAAATGAAATTGAAAACATTTATGAACATGACATATGAACTTGAAAACACATACCACATGGCAAGACCACACCTTTTCCTTCTACTTGCTTTACAAGATTTATTTACAGGAAAATACCACTCAATAGGAGAAAAAACAATCCCTAAACAATTACATTCCTCTTCCACTACAGGTCAGCTGGTCTACAAAAATAAACATGGCCTAGTGTGGGAGGGGAGCCTGCATCACAGCTGTTACTTTAAACAATGCAAACCTAGCTAGAATACTGTTGCGTATCTATGCATAGTATCAATATATTACAATTAACAACAACAAACGTTGTATACAATCACAAATACATATATACTTCCAGATTCATGGGAAACCGAACATGGCGTTCAGTGTTACAATGACACGGATCTCTTGCAAACCTAAACGTCTTGAATTTGAACATTGTTAATGCCACAGGAAATTCAGAGGCAACTGATAAAATTACCAGTTGAAGAATCTGGTGTATCCACCTTCCTGGTTTTGGAAATTTAGATTATATTTTGAAAAACAGGTCACCTCGACCTGGAATTACAGGTCGGTCAGAAGAGGAATAGAAAGACGGACTGACATAGGGAACTGGACAAACCTCCTTTCCCTCATACAGTAACACACCTGATAGTCCATAGCATGACCAGTAGAAATCAAGGTGTGGATGTTTATATCAGATCAGGTTCTTCGTTAGAAAATGATTTTGGAGGTGCAATATGTTGTCAGCAGGAATATATAAGAGCACATTCAGACATTTTTTTCAGTTCAACAAAAATCACTAACAGCAGATCCGTAAAGCAACTAAAAAAGTGTGGTCTAACAACATTCCAGTTTGGGACTTGACCACTTGTCCAAACCCTTAAACAAGTTACGATGGTCAAGCCAGTAAGTTAGGGTTAATGGCCCTTTGAACAGTATTCCAGTTATATTATGACATGTCAGCTTCATCATGTTCATATATGAAGCAAGTCTGAAATGACTCATGTCTCAGATGTTTACCACTGTGGTGAATTACGAAACCCATGACCACTTGGATGGTGCTGACAAATAACATGGTCAAAGCTACCGTCTACAGTACAACACAAAACCACAAGTATTTAGAAGATATGCAAGTGTTATGCAGACTGTATGTAACATCAGATACATATTTTGCAATATGTTTTCTCAAATATTTATATCCCATATAATACATGTATAAACCTTGGTCATCAGACGACGGAAATGTTGGCAATGTCTTCAACAAATCAAGTGACATGTCAAAAGTGATATCTGTAGTAAATGTCATAAATATGTTTCTAGATCTGTCTATATTTATAATATGATCAGCTTAAAACAAATCAGTTATTAGTATAAATAATAGGCTTGGTAAAATTGAATGAGTTTGATTTTTAAAACATATGAATAACAAGATTTTCCGTTAAACACCGCTGTCAGTGACAGAAGCTTGATATGATACAGAGGTATGAATGATATGACACAATGTTGTCAGGCAGATTTCTGTCATGGGTTACGTGAGAATGGTAACGATAGTCGTCCCACATGTTGCCAATAAATAAACAAAACATGCAATGCCAGACAACATCCTGCTCGTGGCTGTAGTCACGTTACGGAAAGTTTCATTGCGCAATTTGCGAATGACACTACAACAAACAGATCATAAACATCATAACTGAAATGTTAATAATTATATTCTGTGGTCACATATTTCTATCAGGACATGTGTATATTTGATTATATCCATCACTGCCATCTAAAACCTACTTGCTAAACTGTTGTTTTTCCCTTCCAATCGATCGCAAATTTTTGACAGAAATAATTTTGTCGTCAGCTAGGAAATGAAGATCGCTTATCCTCGATTGACAGCCGTCAGGGCATAATTGAGTCCCAACATGAACGACTTACCTCTTTTAACGGCCTCCTCACAGGTTATGAAAGCTAACTTTGAGTCTTTACCTCCCATGCTAAATGCATATAGTAAGATTTACGTCAGGAAAAACATTATTTCATACATTTGCTACACTCGGTTCGCTTCCCTATCCGCCATATTAGATCACGCGACGATTATCCGAGAATCTACGAGATCTAGCAAAATAGATTTATGAAAATGGATTACCTCCCTTTGACCATAATTATGCTTGATTCTGCGCTGAGGCTGAAATCGATAGATTCCTTATTAAAACAATAAATTCATGTTGACCACAGACAATAAATTTTGAAAGAACCTTTCATGTATCTTTGAATAATTATTTTCTTCAATCTTTATCTAGCTATAATTTATGCACATATGAAAATCAATACACGCACCAACTGTTGCCGGAGTACGATCACAATGTGAGGGAAGAGTTTAACTGGTATATTGACCAGAAAGGCCAACTGGATATTTTTATGTTAAACAGACATTTTCTAAGACAATAAATATATTAACAGCACCAAAGATTGTACTTTAAATTAGCGCAAATAGCATTACTTAAATGTTTAAAATGTTTGATAAACTTCCTAAAAAGTAAAATTCAGTACTTTTTAATGTTTGTTATATATACAAATAAAAACATATATAACAAATTCTAACGTTCTCACCACTAAATCACACGAATTCATGTTATTATTTTGCACATGTATTTTGCACATTTTGCACAGAAATGTTATGATAATGGTATCAAAATCAATAAATTAGTCTTCAACAGCTGTAATGCACATCTGTGGCATCGAGAAACAAACAATTCTACTTTCAGGCCTTGTTTGATGCAGGGCAACATTTGTGCCACGGAGTAAGCCTTGCGTGGACGGACTGCATGGCGTCAGAACGAGACATGACTCCGAAAATATGCCTGATAAACCTCTTTTTATTCTACATTATTACCACACAAAATATATGTGTTGGTTTACGATCATCCATGGCCCGGTATGAGACGTTTTTCAACTCCGAGCATCAAATTGTTGACGGGCTTGACAAATACATTCGCCACGAAACCGAACGTTTGGAAATCATCAAAAAGTGAGTACGTCAGTCCCAAGCATTATGTGTCTGTAACTGAGAATTATATATATTTTTTGTCATGATATTCTATTAATTACATTACTCTGTATTCACACCGATATGGAATATATGATATCGATGCCATTGATTTTGGTTTAGAATAACGTCAACAAATATACCTAACAAAACATCGGTTCTGTTTTTTTCCGTGTAACTCAATGATTTTACACATGCGAGACTTTGAACCTATATGCTATAATATAGACAAGCTTTATGTATAAAAACTTCTTTATTTCGTGAGTGCTTGACAACGGTACAAGAATCTGTATCAAAACGTCGCTCTCACGAAATAAAGAAGTTGTTATCCACAAAGTTTGATTATATTGTACTTAACAGCTTTTAAAATGCCACTCAAAGAAGCTATATGACTATGTTTCGTTGATATTGTGCACACCTTTCTCTTTGTAGGAAATGTGGAAGGGCCGATTCTTGCCATAAAACCACCACCTGTCTGTGTGTTGAACAGACATATTATGTTAAGTAGTGGCAAAATACTGTACCATGTTGTTGTCTATCACAATACAAGCCTGTCTCACAGCCCCTTCTTGTCAGCCCCTTTCTCTTTCACCACAGCTATTGATCAAATTCGGATAGATCAGATAAATCACGTGGCCTCAAAGAGTCTCCTTTTCCAGAATTTTCTGCAGATCTTCGATCACACTGGGACTCCTTTTCTGTTTAAATGATTTTTTTTCTATAAAATATATACCTTCAGAGACTAAGTGTGTGTCTAATCTACGAAAGCCCAGAGGGGTCAAAATGTTGGGTTTTTGTTCAACCTGAATACGTCATTCAATGATTACGCAACCTGATGATATGTTGCGTCATCCGGTTTACTCAAATCAACACCACGTCATACGTTCCACGAAATGTGACATTAAACACGAGAGAATTTATTACACCATTTTATTTTACTGAAGTGAAATTTTATTGAAATTGTAATCGAGTAAAAGGGAATAATTATTTAGAACGCAGCTATTTGAATGCATGTGCATTACGTATTTTTTTCATGACGTAATGTCGACTTTTTACAAATATAAAATTTTCTGTATTATTGATACCCTTAAAACATTATAATGTTATTAAAATATTTTTAAAAACGCCATTAGGTCAGCTATTGCTTACAAGCAACTCCTGAAGTCTTAGTTTCGTATGTGTAGTAACACCCATGAAGTACTGATTATCAAAAGTTCGGGTCTATGCAAGCAGGGATATAGTGGGATTTTTGTTAAAATGGGAGGGGGAGTTTCCATTGACATGTTTGAAAAAAAGACTTGTTCTTTTGGGAAATAGTTTGTGTTAGTAAACTGTAGCTTCGTCAAAAATTCATCAGCATGTCCGAAAAAAGAGGGCGTGTATGGGAAGTCACAGTCAAGGGTGGTTAGAAGTCGCGGTGTCTGAGCGGGTTAGGCGGATGGCGATTAGGTGCTTTACTCTGACGGTGTGTGTTCGAATCCCTGATGGGACTAAACCCAACAAAAGTACTAGAATCTGTACTTTACTAAGAAAGTGTAATCCCCAAGAAACATTTGTTACAGTCAAGGGGTTGTTACAGTCAAGTAAAGGGGGTGCATAACGCTACAATTAAAAGAGCATATTTTCTGGAGAAAATTAATATCTGAAATATCAAATCTGCGTAATTCCGTGTATTTCTTAGTTTAGAATTTTCATAGTAATAAGTAATGTTAAACATAACCGAACAGGATATTGTCTGTCTGTGTGCGAGTATATCTGCTTGGCTCCAGGTGTATCGGGGGGTAGCCTAGTGGATAAAGTGTTCGCTCGTCACGCTGAAGACCCAGGTTCGATTCCCCACATGCATGGGTATAATGTGTGAAGCCCATTTCTGGTGCCCCCCGCCATGATATTGCTGGAATATTGCTAAAAGCGGCGTAAAACTGAATTCACTCACCCACTCCAGGTGTATCGTCTGTCTGGCAAACAGCTTTCTGGCTGTCTGTAAGTGTGTGTTTGTATCATTCAGCTTGTGTGTGCGTGTGTGCGTGTGTGCTCCATGTGTGTCTGCCTGTTAGTCATCATTCTATCTGTCCGTCTGCAAGTGGTTGTTTCAGTCAGTTTGTGTGTCTGCATACGTATCTGTGTATCTCATCCGTGTGTGTCCGTCTGCCGGCCAGTCACCATTCTATCTGTCTGTGTGTCTGCCGTTGTGTCTGTGAGTCTGTATGTGTGTTTTCGGTCTGTCTACAAATGTGTCTCTATATCTTCAAATCTACATGTTTGTTTGTGTCTGTGCTAGGGTCCGTGTGTATCCATGTGAAAAGGCGTGTGGTTGGAATCGAACCCGGATCTTCGGCTTGACAAGCAAACGCTTGTCTGTCTAGAGCGTGTGCATGTATATTCCACAAACTGTCCATCTGCCAGTGCTCATGTTTATCTGTAGACCACCAAAAGTGGCGACCTTTATTCATTTATTTCTATAGCAACAAATATCATTAAACGGCAAATCATTAAACATATGCCCTACAGACATATATTTTGAGACACGTGAAGGTTGACACATGTCATCGGTTCCCAGTTGTGCAGATCGATGCTCATGCTGTTGACCACTGGATCGTCTGGTCCATACTAGATTATTTACGGACCGTCTCGTACATTCCAGGTCGTCTGGCTATGAAGATGAAATTCCCTTCGTAGAACAACGGATCGAGACACTGACAAGGTATGTACTGTCAATATTATCATATCGACCCATGACCCCATCTTCACCATACCTGTTTACTACAGCCCTTTATTACCAAATGTGAACGACAAATTGCGAAATATCTCGAAATCGGGAAGAAATCCGATTGGGTAATCATATCTATTGAATGTTACCACGGTACACGGCAATGAATACCCTGTACCCATCAGTACCTACTGTATGTTATTTCTATACCTGTCAATGGAAAAGTTGGGAAACCATCATGTTGTTATTTGTCGAGTTGACAGCTTTAACGGAGGGGACACAACCGAAGGAAGAACAGCACAAACGCGCAACATGACGGCAAAGGGAATGACATCATTCATAAGAGGGGTCGTCTCATATGTATTTCATGAAAATAAAACCAAAGTCCACAGTAAATATAGTCAACCCTATGAAGTCATATCGATTTTGTCGAGGAGATAAATGTATTGTGCAATAACGTGTGTCATTGATTACATGTTTGTCAAAGGGCAGATGTATATCACAACCCAGTAATGTGTTTGTGGTTGTGTGAAGACGTGGCGTGCACTCCTTACCCACCACCCCGTTATAGTGAGTGAGTGAGTTTAGTTTTACGCCGCACTCAGCAATATTCCAGCTATATGGCGGCGGTCTGTAAATAATCGAGTCTAGACCAGACAACCCAGTGATCAACAGCATGAGCATCGATCTGCGCAATTGGGAACCGATGACATGTGTCAACCAATCAGCGAGCCTGACCACCCGATCCCGTTAGGTGCCTCTTACGACAAGCATGGGGTACTGAAGGCCAATGTTCTAACCCGGTTCTTCACGGGTTACCACCCCATTATAACAACAGTTGGGATAGTTCTATGGATATACAACTTCTTTATTACAATAGTCACGCTATGACTGATATTGCCGATGTGACTTAAAATCTTAACTCACTCACTCTTTATTACAATATATTCGACGTTTCGGTGTAGATGCTAACACAGTTGTCAAGCAAGTAATGCATATTGATGATACCCGTGAAGATCCGGGTCAGAAGTGATCTTCAGTAACCCATGCTTGTCGTAAAAGGCGACTAACGGGATCGGGTGGTCAGGCTCGCTGAATTGGTTGACACATGTCATCGTATCCCAATAGAGCAGATCGATGCTCATGTTGTTGATCACTGGATCGTCTGGCCCAGACTCGATAATTTACAGACCGCCGCCCTATAGCTGGGATATTGCTGAATGTTGCGTAAAACTAACCTCACTCACTCACTAATACTGATGATGATGATGATTTGGAGATTTAACGTGCGCTTTCCGACATAATGCGTATAACGCACACGGCATAATACTGTTGGTAAAACATTTATTAACAACATGAAAAAAATACATGTAATGGAAAATGAACTGAGGCAAGATACATTACACATTACTTGAAATGCTTACTACGTACAATGAATTTATGGACTTGACTAAAAAAATTTACATTTATATTTTGTAGCAGACTAAGGCTGCCATACAGAATTGTGTTAATATCAACGATAACTTTTAGGATTTCAAAGCCTTGTATCAAATCAAACCGGCAGCAGACATACTTTGGACATGTTAAAAAGAAATGATTGGTATCTTCCACCAAAGCACCACAATGGCAAGCTTTACTTTCAGATAAATTAATACGAAAATCAGCATTTAAAGAACTACATGAATGTCTTAACTTAGTGTGTAGAATATTAATCTTCCTTTCACATATAGGAAATTTCGGAATATTATATTATTTTTTTCCAGATAATTAAAATCAGATAGTCAGGAGATTGCATGTTAACAATTTTGTAAAATGTACAAAGTTTCTTATGTGTACGTCTAATTTTTAAAGGTAACCTACCAATTTCACTGTACAAACTGGATCTTGAAGCGGATTTTGGCAGATCGGTTACACTTTTTGCTGCTTCAAGCTGAACCATTTCAAGTTTATCACAAATATCCGCGGGACAATTATCCCAGACCCCAGAAGCATATACTAAGATAGGTCCAGCATACTTTTCATACATGCTTAATAGAATATTTCCAGGTAGGACGTACTTTAATGTCCGTAACGAGGAAACTATTTTAGAGGCCTTTTCTATTGCAGCAGGTACATGATGAGACCACTTTGTATTGTCTGATAAGATAATACCAAGATGTTTATGTACACGCTCCAAATGTTCATTATTGAAAATCAAGTCAGGAACTTGTGGACACTTATCATGGTTGAAAAGCATAAATGTATTCTTATAAGGTTTAAACTTAACTAACCACTTTTCTGCCCATTTATTCAAATGGGCTAAATCATAGTTGAGAGTTGCTTCTATCGATTCTACATCTTTTCGCGCCACACCAATTGATGTGTCATCGGCAACCATTCTTGTGATGTTTTTACAATTTTCAGGTAAATCATTGATAAATACAAGGAACAAAAGTGGACCAAGGACAGATCCTTGAGGAACCCCTTCAGTAACATTTAGTTCTTTTGATAATGTACCATTGATGAAAAAACTCTGTCGTCTATCAGATAGATAGTTAGTTAACCAACTAAGTATGTTTCCACGAACATGTATATATATGCGTCACCTACAGTATTGCACTAGAAGTATAGTACCAATAAATAATAAAACAACCCCCTAACCACATAAGCTGAAAAAATAAAACGAATGCAAAACAAATACCAACCAAACTACCCAGTAGTTCAGCTCCCCTTACCACTTATTGCAAATTTCCAAATTCAAAATTCAAATTTAGTTATCCAACCCTAACGCCCACTCCAGGTTACCATATCTTTCAGTCAAATCACCCTACTTTAGATCGAACACTAAATGGCCTGACACGAAGGTCTGAGAAATACGCAATATGTCGGAAATCTCAAATCATCATGATCAACGTACACCTGCTTGATAACAGTGATAGTATCTACACCGAAACGTCGCATGTATTGTAATAAAGAATTTGTGTATCTGTAGAACGACCCCCCTTGTTCATCACTGGGACACACTAACTTCTAAATGCCGCTCAAAGACGTCATCTGTTAAAATAAGCAGCGTAAAGGAGCCTGGGCCCATTTTCCACTTTAGTAAATAGTGTCCCATCCGGTATGCATGTCTGTAAAGAGTTATTTTTGTAGCGTTTTTCGGGCATCGGTTAGAAAACTTAAGATCGTGTCAGTATTACTGTCATATTTTTCAAATTTCCCAGGTCATAATAAGCCGACTCTGTTATCCATGGTTGGCAGCTGACGCTGTATTAAGGACGAGTTTAGTGTGGGCTTAGTTGTGTTTCTTAGTATTCTTTATGTAAAACAGTGTGTGAAACATTTCCATCGGTCACCATGCTTGAAAAATGTGTAATGATATAATATCAGTTCAGTCGATCTTTTTGTCCCCTCCATTATGTATTTTACGTGCGCATCAGTTGCTTATACTGACAGTTCCACTTACCTCCCTTAGGCGAACGTTACCGCAGGAAGACGAAAGCTACTGGCTCATTCTGGGATTACAATTCAGTCAAGGAAATTTATAGATTAAACATTTCAATTCATAAACCCGTTACCTTTTCAAACGTCACTAACATACAAAACATGTTTTCGCTAAATTTGCAAAAAAACCACCCCCATATCCTTCAAGATTTTGGAATAAAAACTCTCTTAACCAACATAGAAAATATCTTTTCTCGTGATCCAAAATGTTTTATCTGTTTCAGCTTTTACAAACAAGCCAAGGCGAACGCCAGTGCTGTCAGTGACGACGCCCGAAATCTTCGTATACAACATCCCACATCCACACTTGTGGGCTTTAAGAACTTCGTCACCAACTGGACCCCGTTTCTTCACAATGAGACTCTATATGGATTTCGTAAGTGTTGTCTGCCTCAACTTTTTGGCTCCGGTATATCTTCATTTGTCAGCCTTGATAACTGTAATAATAAAATCATCATGGCTTTCGTCATTGTACTACTGCTGCTATTACTGCTGCTGCTGCTACTACTATATAGCTGGAGTATTGCTGAGTGCGGCGTTAAACAACAAACAAAATACAAAACTTCTCGAAAGGCGGCCGTGGGGTCGCTTATGTGTGAAGCCGATTTTTCGTGTCCCCCGTCGTGATATTGCTGGAATATTGCTAAAAGCGGCGTAACATTAAACTCACTCACTCTACAATTACGGAACTACAAGTTTAATCAACCCTAGAAAGTTTGTGCGACTCACTCACTGATACCCGTGAAGATCCGGGTCAGAATTGAACTTCAGTAACCCATGTTTGTCGTAAAAGGCGACTAACGGGATCGGGTGGTCAGACTCGCTGACTTGGTTGACACTGATCACAGATGCGTAGGTCGATGCTCATGCTGCTGATCACTGGATTGTCTGGTCCAGACTCGATTATTTACAGACAGCCGCCATATAGCTGGAATATTGCTGAGTGCGGCGTTAAACAACAAACAAACTACTACTACTTTATCCCAAAGTGATATGCATATTTTAAGAAATCACTCTTAGAATTTGAATTAACCGTTATGTTTTAGGATTTTTGGAATTTTTGAACGTGACTATGAAAGACATCCCTGACCAAACTGACCTGGCCAACCACTTGGGCAACATCATCTACATCCACCTGTTTTACAACCTGTCTGCTAGCGACATCTTCGACGGTAACATCATGGGTCAGAAAGGTTCCCCCTTGACCGTGATGGACGCTTATGACCTTGCTCTATTCGCCAAAGGAACTGACAAACCCAGACTAGCTCTGCAGTGGTTCCAGGTCACATTGGAACAGTCCAAGAAGATCGGTAATAAGACCGACATAAACATACCGCTTTTGCTGACAGAAATCGCCCTCTTACATGGCCAGGTGAGCTTACTGTTAACATTCGGCTTAGGTCGGGTCTGTTTGGAATATGGCGTTTGGTTCAACAATAACAACAACAACAAAAAAGAAAAAAAAATATTGGCGACGTCTTGGAGGTAACGGAAAGTGACAAGTGGTGACGAATGCATTCAGTCGTTACCACTCGGATCTTTCCGTTACTTCGTGTTGTTAAGTTGTTTTTTAGTTTTTATTATTCAAACGTATGCATACAGGCCTCCACCGACCAGTGCCTGTCCTAAGGGGAGACCAAATCGATTGGGTGTGCCAGATTCGTAAACGTGGTTGATTACATGGCTTCGTTTCCCCAAACCAGAGTCAAATGATGTCAGTCACTGGATTGTCCGGTCCAGACTCGATTAATTACAGACGATCAGCTGTTGTATAGCTGTGTAAGGCGTTAAACAACAAACAAACACAAAATTAAATCGTATTTGGCTAAACCAAGTCTTAAGTTATCACACATGGGATGAATAGTGATATAATTTTACTGGCAATTTTTTTTTATTGAACGTGTGCCTTCTTCTCTAAGATCAGTAGTGGAAAATGTTTTGTTCAAGAAAGAATCTTTTTACAATCATTTTACACGATTAAATATCATTAATTATTTATTTGTTATTTGTTTGTGTACTTCTATTGCCAACATTTACGTTTACAGTTCGACGATTGGGATAAAGCCTACCCACTAGTAGAAGAAGCCTTTGCTTTGAGTAAGTATTTTTGTATGAGATAGTCGGATGACGTTACAGATAGTCGAATGACGTTACATGTAGTCGAATGACGTTACATGTGGTCGAATGACGTTACATGTGGTCAAATGACGTTACATGTGGTCGAATGACGTTACATGTAGTCGAATGACGTTATATGTGGTCGAATGACGTTACATGTGGTCAAATGACGTTACATGTGGTCGAATGACGTTACATGTAGTTGAATGACGTTACAGATGGTCAAATAACGTTACAGATAGTTGAGTGACGTCACATGTAGTCGAATGACGCTACAGGTAGCCTGGTGACGTTACAGTTAGTCGAATGACGTTACAGGTAGTCGGATGACGTTACAGCTAGTGGAATGACGTAACAAATAGTTTATTACAATCTAATAGCAATACAATGTTTGTCCAAGCATGTAACTGTCGTATAGCTGATGCCGTGCGGCCATCGATAAATAACGTTCCAGAACAACGAATCACAATCCACTATAAAGAATATATTTTCACAGACTGTTCCGGAGTTTGTTGCCATGAAACGCTTATGAACAAAATGAGTGAAACAACGATCATGGCAACTTGTTTATCGGGGCAGCCCGTTTGTCCAATCTGTACCAATTTCCTCATATTTTAATTATTTGTACGTGGTTATGCCCCTATATTAGTGTAAAACTGAAAATCTGATGTTATTGGGATATAAATGTGTGTTAACGACCACCCACATTCACATCCAACATTCGCACTCACTCACTCACTTCCACATCTATACCATTACAGGCACACTCATCCCCACACCCCGCACCCACACTTACAGCCACCAGCCACAAATACTACCCGTACCCACACTCTGTATCCACATCCCCTTCACAAACAATACACTCATACCCCACATATATCCACACCCATACCCCACCCCCACCCCAAGCTCACACCTGACACCTATACCCACCCACACCCGACACCCATACCCACACCCCACACCCCCATACACCACTCCCACACCCATATCCCCCACTCACAGCCTACAGATTACATCCCACACCCTCTCCCTCTCAAACTCCCGACCCACACCCGAATCCATAACCACACCTGCACCGCAATACACGCCATGAGGGTGTCTCTGTTGATCTATGTCCCTCTGTTTACAGACGATACTGACGACGTGGTGTACAAACGCTTTGCGCGAGTAACCACAGAGAATGTCCCCCGCTTTCGCAACTTTGAAGACAAGCCTCCCGTGTACTGGAAGAACTTCACAACATTATGCCAGGCAAATGACACCTTCAAGGTAAGCTAGACGGTCTTGTGCATGTTGTTGTTTGTTGTTGGAGCATTAAGTTGATAGCAACAGCGGGGACACATAAAATATATACACAACGTGAGTGAGTGAGTGAGTGAGTATGGCTTAAAGCCGATTTTAGCAATATTCCATCAATATCACGACGGGGGACACCAGAAATGGACTTCACACACTGTACCCAAGTGGGGAATCGAACCCGGATCTTCGGCGTGACGAGGGAACGCTTTATCTACTAGGCTACCCCTCCGCCCCTATACAATTGGAAGATATGGATGTTTTTTGCCAGTACATTGTAGTTATTTGGTCATATGATATGAAACAAACACATCTATATGTTTAATTAAACTATGTACAAACTAGTTTTGACTTTCGTTGTGTAACGCCATCCTCAGCAACATCCCCGCTACATGACGGCGCTCTGTACACATTCGACCAATGGATGGCTAGTGGTTGATGCAATGAACAATGTACGACGGAGTAGTCGGAGTATGACGACATGCTATTAGACGAGACACGGAGCATAACCGCAATTATCTTAAATCCATCGTGGCGGTGGGGTAGCTTAGTGGTTAAAAGCCGAAGACCCGAGTTCGATTCTCCACATTTGTATAATTTCTCAAATGAGCAAAAGTCCTCAAACCTGAGTTGCGTTAAACCATACTAACTCACTCACTTACTCACCTATCATCTGTTTCAAGTTAAAAAACTCCGAACTCCGTCCTTTAATGAGGGGCGGTGGGGTAGCCTAGTGGTTGAAGCGTTCGCTCGTCACACCGAAGGCCTGGGTTCGATTCCCCACATGGGTGCATTGTGTAAAGCCCATTTCTGGTGTCCTTTGATAGTGCTGGAATATTGCTAGAAGCGGCGTACAACTAATCTCACTCACTCACTCTTTTAAATGAAGGTGTTATACTGATCTTATTAAACCAATGTTAAAAACACACCCATTTCGCTACCTGAATGGTTAAAAAAAAAAATGGATTCTAGTGGTGGTCCGATTAATTGAAATAATCGAAGATTGGTCGCAATGACAAAACGACCAAGCAATCTATCATGTTTTCTCATAATCGAACACAAACAATTCTGGAACACTTGTTTGAATTAACAATATTTTTCACAAGGTTGGTTTTGTCAGTTACATTTCATAAACATTACAAGCTCGTTCCAAGTCAGGATTGAATTTATCTTAAAGACTCCAGGAAATTTATGTTCCTCCATACTAGTCATCCTTTAAAGATGTTATATTTGCACATGCATTTTGTGGAATTTGCAAAAAGACTCATAAGAACTACATGTTTTTTCTTTGTTTTTTTGTGTGCAGTAACAATCATAACCAAAAAAATTTGATAAATGATGCTGACCAATTATGTTCGATGATTGATCGGTTGTATTGAACCAATCATCAATTATGAGATTTTATCCAATTCCCAACACTAATGGATTCTCCCTCACACTACCACAATATACTAACCCCTCCCTGTGTTCCGCAGCCGCCGTTGAAGTGGTTCCACCGATGCCGTTACCGATGCTCACCAATTCCATTCAAACGTTATCGGGAAGAGATCCTCAGCTTGTCCCCTTACGTATCAGTGTTCCATAACGTCATCAGTGATGACCTCATCGATGACATCAAAACGAAAACAGCCAAAAATGTAAGTTTGCTTAACATAAGTAATACGTATCAATTCTGAACGTGCACCTATATCATCTCTAGACTATTGAATCAAAATTGTGTCGCATTGTTGTTATGAATACCCATGTCCATGGCATAATTCTTTGTTGCGTTACCATGGTTACGTGAAATTAGCTTGTGGTGGTTCACTTGAATCCGCAATTCCGTTTTAATTATTTATGTAGTGATTTTATATGTACCCTATCCAATGGATGCTATATTTATCGGTTTTTCTATTTTTTGCAGCTGACGAAAGCTACGAATTATTATTACCCCAAGCTTGAAGGGTAAGATTAAATTATTTCGTTCATCTGCAATCACAGAGCCGCAATATTGATCAACCCGTTCATTTTATCTCATCAATATTGATAGTACTGATCCACACGATCCTGATCCGGCAATAGGATCTCATCCTCGATTTCCATGCATGGATCAGTATATCCCAATTGTGTTATGGTAAATACTCTGGCCCTACTCACTACCATAGCTTTTGAGCCTGTTTTGGATAGCCCCCGCCGTGATATTGCTGGAATATTGCCAAAAGCGGCATAAAACCAAACTCACTCACTCACTGTTTTGGATAGCACCCGCCGTGATATTGCTGGAATATTGCCAAAACCGGCATAAAATCAAACTCACTCACTCACTGTTTTGGATAGCACGACGCTAAAACAGCCACCACAAGCAAGTGTAAGTGAGTGAGTGAGCATGGTTTAACGCCGCTTTTAGCAACATTCCATCAATATCACGGCGGGGGGACACCAGAAATGGACTTCATACATTGTATCCATGTGGGGAATCGAACCCGGGTCTTCGGCGTGACGAGCGAACGCTTTAACAACTAGACTATCCCACTGACTGCATCCTTGATCACACGTATGACATAATCTGCCGAGCAAAGGAAATGTATTGCCCTCCAAAATTACAACCGTAATAAAACCTTTACTAGCGTCAACACAGACACCGTAAACCGGCAAAGTTAAAGCTAAGAAAAAAATATGATACCCGTATTGAATTCATCACCATCAAATGATCATTTCTCGTTTCTTTTATTTTTAGTTATTGTGGGCTTATACCTTCTTTAGCTGGACAGTTTACATCGAGTCTATTGTCAAGAGTGTATATCTGTGGTATCATGTGTCCATTGCGTGATCAACTTTCATGGTTTGAAAAACAATTAATTACATGCAAATATACATGGGAATTTCCTCCATTTCTTTATAATCTCTGATTTTTTTAAAACCTAAACACACTGGGCAAAAGTTTTTGAAATAAAGCGATACCTGAATATTGAGTTCATGTTGTCTGGAATAATCAGCTGTCTCGACACTAGCTTTCATAATTCATTTGTTAAAAGGTTAAAAGACATAGCGGGATAACTGCCCGAAACCTGTAGACGTGCCTTTTAGCAATTCTCAGTTAAGGGATAAACAATATGTGTTTTCAGATTTGAGGGTGTTACTGAGAATGATCGTACACGAAGTTTCATTTAAAACAGACGGCGTTGAAATCTAAAAACACTTAATGTTTGAGCACATTACTACTCCGGGGATAAAACACTTCGCTGCAGATGCTTCCGATATTTGCACTGTCTCCGCATGTCACTTTTCAGTCACTCTAGGCGTTTTACTGTTATCCCGATATTTACGGGAATCCTGTCGCTATGTTCATTGCTTCATATTTCGATCACTAGAACACCGTTTCTGTTTGTACAAGTGGAATAAGACTTAGGTGAGGTGATTGTTCAATTAAGTGTAGCACCTAAGGTTGATTGTAGCCGAGGCTGCACTGTCTGGGTGATAAATAGTGAACAAATATGCATGTAATTCATGAGGTTTTGGGCACACTAAATGTTTTTCAAATTTGATGTTTAGAAAAACAGGTACTTCTCAAGAAAGTGTTCGTACGCTTTGGAAAAAACCCAAACAAACCCCGCAGTACTTATTAGTTCGTTTCCTATGTTTTCAAAAAAACGCCGTCCATTTTACTAAAGTCATTGTTCACTTGAAACGATATGATCATTGCTTTGAAAGCAAGACGATATGACGTCATTCATTGTCTTTACGTCATAAATAAATAACGTCACGCCATGTGAACAATATGTTGATTGCAGTAAACTTTAGTTTCGGTGTTGTGTTCTATATTTTCTGTCTTAACTAGTCACAGTTAACCTACTCGAAACTCAGAACTGTGGAACATTCCTGTCATCTATAAATGTTGTAATGAAAATGTTTCTCAGCACTGAGATCCTTGAGCACCACACCTCAGCCCGAGTGTTGACGAAGATTGCTGGAGACATTAGCGGCCTCAACGCCTCCTACATCCCAGGCGAGGTGTCCAGCGGTGGTGCCCTCAGGGTAAGGTGATGGATGGGTCAGCATTTGACCTCAGTCAGTCACTACACACTCATAAATTAGTTTTGTTTTAAAACGGCACCCTGGTGAGTGAGTGAATGAGTGAGTGAAAAGTTTATCGTGAATCAGAAATATGTCAGCTATATCACAGCCTGGGGTCCCATTATGCCCCAAATGGAAATGAAACCAGGGTCATAGTCGTTGCTAACGCTTTATCCACTCGGCTACCCAACGCTACTTGCAGAGTGAGTGTAGTTTTACGCCGCTTTCAGCAATATTCCAGCAATATCACGGCGGGGCACACCAGAAATGGACTTCACACATTGTACCCATGTGGGGAATCGAACCCGGGTCTTCGGCGTAACTAGCCAATGTTTTAACCACCAGACCACCAGCATGAAGCGAGGAGTCAAGTTGTGTCAGTATTATTTGGCCTCGTAGCTGCTATGGCTATATACATGTAAACCCAACTCACTCACCCACGACCAGTGAAGATCAGGGTTAAAATTGCAATTGGTCTTCAGCAACCCATGCTTGTCGTAAGAGACGACTAACGGGATCGGGTGGTCAGGCTCGCTGACTTGGTTGACACATGTCATCAAATCCTAATTGCCATATTGCTGGAATATTGCTGAGTGCGGCGTTAAACACCAACCCACCAACCCTATTGTTTCGGGAGTGACCTCGTCGTAATTAACAAACCATTAAGGCGGCGGAATCCCCGACTGATGACGAAGCATGCAATCCGGAAACTCGACCTGTTCTTCATTCCTGTGTATGATACATTGCAGGTTCTCAACTTTGGTCCCTGCGGGCTGGCGAAGCCTCACAACCACACGTCCATGGTAGGTGACCAGACCTGTTGCAGACCAACACTTGAATCTGTAACCATATTGTCGGAAAACGAAATCTTACTTACGTCAGATCCGGTATCATTTGACGTGGATTACCACCCTTGTTTAATGGTAAGACCGGAGAGGAACGGTCGATGTTCGATCCTGGGTAGTGTCAACCCAAAACGAACTATTGTAGTATTTCTCTAAGAGGAAGTGTTTTTTTTTACTTAAATATTTTGATGAAAATGATTGTAATATTTTACATTTAACATATTATATTTTCTTCGCAGTATGACGAGAGAATGTTTCTATCTGGAAATAAAGTTGGATTCGTTACGTTTTATGTGAGTAACTTATTTAACTGAACTTTTTATGACGCTTCACTCATCTCCATACTGTTGCCTGATCAGTTGTAAAGGCGGCAAAAACCTCATTCTATCACCTGGTAAGTCCCTTTAAGTCGACCCGTGAAGATCCGGGTTATAATTGTTTTTCAGCAACCCATGTTTGTAAGAGGCGACTAACGGGATCGGGTGGTCAGGCTCGCTGACTTGGTTGACACATGTCATCGTATCCCAATTGCGTAGATCGAAGTTCATGCTGTTGATCACTGGATTGCCTGGACCAGACTCCATTATTTACAGACCGCTGCCACATAGCTGGAATACTGCTGAGTGCGGCGTTAAACAACCAACCATCCAACCTTTGTAAGCACCCTTTTCAGCAGGTTTTGTAACGCTTCTATGATTTTAAGGTCCAGTTCAATGAGGGGTTTTATACCAATAAAACGAAAATGTTTCTTTCAGGAAACCATGTGCTAACTTTGGTGAAGTCAGTTTGTTGTAGTTTAACATGAATGATAACCAAGGCAACCGTTTGTGATGTTGTTGCAGTTGACGGACGTGGAGAGCGGAGGAGCCACGGTCTTCTTGGACATCGGACTGAGATACCAGCCCAAGAAGGTAAAAGCACCATTATCTTGATTCTGAAATCTCGTGTATGTTCGGGGCGGTGGTGTAGCCTTGTGGTTAAAGCGTTAGCTCGTCACGCCGAAGACCCGGGTTCGATTCCCTACATTGACAATTGGTAAAGCCAATTTCTGGTTTCTCCCGCCGTGATATTGCTGGAATAGTGCTAAAAGCGTCGTATAACTAAACCCACTCACTCGTGAATGTTCTGACGTCATCGCAAACGTGTTTGGTGCCGTTTGTATGACCTGAGCACCCAGTGAGCGAGTATGGTCTTATGCCACTTTTAGCACTATTCCAGCAATACCACGACGGGGGACATAAGAAATGGGCTTCACACATTCTACAAATGTAGGGACTCGAGCCGGGATCTTCAGCGTGACGAGCGGACACTCTACCCATTACGCTACCCCACCGCCTCTGAGCACCCAGTACTCCATACACTGGGGAACGAGCGGTCACAATAGGTCAGGGAGGGGCCATAACATGGTTGTTACATCTGATGGGATTTGTGTATTTCCAGTTGGCCCTGTCGTCTAAGGCTCACCCGTGAAGATCCGGGTTAGAATTGATCTTCAGTCACCCATGCTTGTCGTTGGAGGCGACGAACGGGATCGGGTGTCCAGACTCGCTGACTTGGTTGGTACATGTCATCGTATCCCAATTGTGTAGATCGATGCTCATGCTGTTGATCACTGGACTGTCTGGCCCTGACTCGATTATTTACAGACCGCCATCATATAGCTGGGATATGGCTGAGTGCGGCGTTAAACAACAAACCACTAACAACCACCACCCACTCACTCACTCACTCCTTGATTCCCCTAGGGTTCAGCGTTGCTATGGTTCGTGGTCCAGCCGAACGGGGATGACGATGTGAGGTTGAACAAAGCTGAATGTCCAATGGCTGTTGGCGACAAGTGGAGTAAGTACATAAGTATGGAGGCGGAGCAGGGACATCAGTTACCACCCCGCAATGGCCTTAACCCGACATCAGACAATAACACTTTCTCGTATGTTTTTTATCGCAATCCCGCGATGAAGCCATGTTTATTATCGGCCATCATAAATTATGCTTAGTAATAAACAAACTATTCTACTTTCTCATGATTTATTTCAAAACTGACAGCGGGGCAACAAGTTTGGGAATTTATTTTGACAAATCTTTTGTAAGCACCATTTCAGTGTTCCACGTGACTCTTTTGACCACCACCCCCTTTAAACAATCTGAATTTAAAACTTTAGCTTAAAAGCTGCTTCAAAATGAAAATTTAGTTGCGGTTAGGTTTTGGGCACAAAAACAATAAATTAATTTCAACAAGCCTTACACAAACAAACATAAAATGCACAATGTCTATGAACGCTTTCTCCTAAAAAAGGAAAGAAAAAGATTTTAATGAAATCCATAAAAAGATAAAGAAGATGAAACGCTTTTGAAGCTTAAGGCGGCCGTGGAATGCCAGTGAGTTTGAAAGGCAATTAAAAAACGTAACCTCGTTTCTGTTCATTATTTCCAGCTGCTCGCTACGCGTAGTACGTTCTTACGTTCTGTATAGTAGAAACTGATACGATCAAGTTGAAATGTGACCTCACTCTGTTGTGCTCGTGGTGGTAAAAACAGAATGTCGACCTTTTTTTAAAATTACCTTTACTGACTAGATAACTTCAGACAAACTGCCTTTTAAGTGATGTTTTTGTGTGCATATTCATCTAAAGTAAATTCAAAGTTATTACTGTATATATCAGATGGCTGTTTGAACAGCATTGTTTGACCTATGGAACTAACATTTTACGCCTGAATTTTCTTTTCTGTAGAAAACATTGATGTTATTTATAGTCACTGCCGTTTAATTATAACTGTCGGGTTTGAAACGTGTCCGTCTATTGTTTTATTCACTCTGACAAGCTTAGATTAACATCTTGACTGTAAATTGTTTTTTATGTAAATATAAAAATTGTGAAATTCTCAAAAGTAATAAACAAACGTAATTAGATTCTCCGTTTTGAGAAACGTATTCAGGAATCTAGACTTGCCAACTATTATAGACATGGGCTGTAATGGTTATAATTCGGGCTTGTATGACTAACAAACGTCCACTATTACAGCTGCTATTCCAACATACTATTCCACCCTTTCCTTGTTTTAGCACTATTCCCATTCCTCACTTTCATTCTAACCTTCAGTTGCTATACCAGTCTAGGCCACTGTTTACACAATCTTCTATATATTCAGAGACTAAGCCTCCAGTCTAGGCCACTGTTTACACAATCTTCTGAAGCGCCTTGATTCTCTGCCGAGAGTTACGTCCCTTGGGCTGGCTACAAAACTTTGATAGTGGGATGGAGATGGGATTCACCATGACCCTATTTTTCAGATATTCAGCCTCGTACCCGAGCACGGGGTTTTAGCAAAGTGGTAACGATGTACGACCGGCAGTTCTTTAAGCTATGACGTCTTGTGTGTGACGTTGATGCGTGTTGTGTTTCAGTTATTGAGAAGGACATCCACTCACACATGAATCAGGCTGCCCGACCCTGCGCCCTGAAGCTCAGAGGCAACCAGATCGGCCTGGACAGAGCAGTCCACAGATTCAGACACTGTCGGCTCTAGGTTCAGACTCTTCCAGATTCGGATATGTTGTCTCTAGGTTCATACATTGTTTGCTCTAGGATCAGACTTCTTGGTCCAGACACTTCTGCATCTAGGTACAGACACTGCTAGATCTAGGTCCAGGCAGTGCTGGATGTAGGTTCAGACACTTCTGACCCAGGTTCAGACATTGTTTGCTCTAGGATCAGACTTCTGGCTCTAGGTCCAGACACTTCTGCATCTAGGTACAGACACTGCTAGATCTAGGTCCAGGCAGTGCTGGATGTAGGTTCAGACACTTCTGACCCAGGTTCAGACATTGTTTGCTCTAGGTTCAGACACTGCTGGCTCAAGTTTATATAGATTCAGACTAATATTAATAGATTATTAATAGTTTTATCTGTACTAGGACACAGACATTTTGCTGGCCCATAGATAATCTTCACAGCATCCCTGAATCACATGGACATTGTCGCTTAAATTGGGATCAGACTCTGACAAACTAGGTCTCGATTCATGCCCTTGACAACATACTCAAGTATATAATGGTCATCGACAACAGTAATGATTACAAGATAAGAGATAATTGCTCATCCATGTGTTATAAATACTTATATCACATGTGTCACTGACCCTACTTAAACATGCCGTCATTTTCGTGAAGCATATACACATTGTGTCATCATCTCTGAGGTTTATAATAAAATAATCTCATGGAACTATGTTCGTTATCTTTACATTACAACAACAGAGCCCGTTTATCCAGAGTTATAGCGGAGTTTATGTTGAAAGGCCTCATATCACTAGGTGACAGAGAAACACACGTCACTTAGAACTACGTATACACTCTAGGGATGTCACGATACATAAGTTTCATGAATAGATTCGTATCACGATACCCATGTCACGATTCGATACGTATCACGATACCTATTTTCACGGCATTATTGCGTAAATATAGTTACATTTTGAACATTAATATTTCATATTTTATAATTGTCCATGACAAGATCGACATTTTTTATTCTCAGAGATTAAAAAGTTCTAATTTCCCATCATTGTGCAAGATAAATAATCATTTATAACTCTCATCACATCAAAAAACATGATACAATTGCAAAATGTAAATGATACATAAACATATTTCAACCGATACTTTCAAAACTAAATATCGATACAGTTTTGAATGTATCGATACTTGTATCGTCTTAGTAAAATTATCGATGTATCGTGACATCCCTAATACACTCATAATAATAACAATAATATAAACGGTCTAAATATTCGTGGAATCTGTAATTCTAAATGGAAAAGGTTTGCTCCACAATACGACCCGTCATCAATATATCAAGGTCTGTCACCCAAGACTGCACGACACCAACAAGTAGCCATCATCATCGTCGTCGTCATAACATCACCATCATCAACGTGATTGAATAACGTGCATGTCTTTGGAGGCAGCCGATTAAGTCAGCGTTAGTTATACGTATGTACAGGTGTTTAAATATTTTTGTGAGTGAGTGGATTCGCTTTCATGCCGCATTAAACAGTAATTCAGTTTGATCACGGAGTGTCAGCTTGGTGTAAGAGTGAAACCCGTCGGTGTACGATGACACGATACCGTCGAGGCCGCCGAGCCTGGCCAGCAGATCCATGGAGCTGTGTAGATCTTGGTTGGTTTGTTGTTTAACGCCGCACTCAACAATATTCCAGCTATATGGCGGCAACCTGTAAATAATCGAGTCTGGACCAGGCTATCAAGTGATCAACATCATGAGCATCGATCTATGCAATTGGGAACCGATGACATGTGTCAACCAAGTCAGCGAGTCTGACCACCCGATCCCGTTAGTCGCCTCCTACGACACGCATGGGTTGCTGAAGACCAATTCTAACCCGGATCTTCACGGGTTTGTCTCTCACGATCAGCATAGGTTGCTAGACACGACCGCCGAGTCTGAGCCCAGATTTTCGAAGCTCTCTTAGCGATAAGATAGTCGTAAGTTAATGTTAAAGAATGGCACATACGACTATATTAGCGCTAAGAGAGCTTCGAAAATCTAGGCCCTGGTCAGCAGAACTGTTAACTCGATTAACACGTGACTACTATACTGTTGCTGTAAGATGAACTGTTACAGCCCTTAAATATTTAGTGTGGTCCGCTCGTAGCTGGAATATTGCTAAAAGCGGCGTAAAACCAAACTTACTCACTCACTCCTATCCGATCGCCCATTGTGAGTCATGACGAGATCGATCCTCTACCTAAAGTCATATTTATGTTTGTAAAATCTACGAACCCTCTTCCCATGCATTAACAGCTTGAAAGTGAGTGAGTGTGTGAATGTGGTTTTGGCAATATTCCAGAAACATCACGGCGGGGGATACCAGAAATGGGCATCAAACATTGTTCCCATGTGGTGAATTGAACCCGGGTCTCCAGCGTGACGAGCGAACGCTTTAACCACTACGCTATCCCACCACCCCTCTCAAAAGTAGAAAGAACGGTAGGGATTGTTTTGTTTTTTTAGCTAGAAAAAAATGTGATAGATACAAACATCAAGAAAAGACGAAAAAATACAATGAAATCGGTTCATTAAAACAATGTCAGTTGCCAAGTGTGACTGACATAGGTCGCGGCGAAATTAGCAAAAACTTTTATATTGGCAATAAAGTTGACTCGCAGGATTTAACGTGACGCGCCGATGGACGAGACTCGTTTTCTTTTTTCGCCTAATTATTTCCCACATTTTCTACACGTATCAACGTTGGGGAATAATTCAGTTTAGTTCCTTCACATGTTACCATTATTGATTCCTTTGATAAACTTCCAGTTCCAATCAGTTCATTAATAGAGTGATTGATCTTATAAACCGCATGGAGTGTTGATCCTAACTCATTTCACACGTCAAATAACACAGTTAATTGGACGACAGTTCTAATTGTGGCCAAACGGCGACCATGCAAGCAGACCCTCTCCTATGTCCAGTTGGAGTTCCATGAGCTACGGGGGGTTGGGTAGCCTCGTCACGCTGAAGTGCCGTGTTCGATTCTCCAATTCCATTTCTGGCGTCCCCCGCCGCGTTATTGCTGGAACATTGCTAAAGGCGGCGTAAAACTATATTCACTCACTCACTCTATGAACTACGTATAACACCGACAGATAATCGATCCCTCGTTAAATGTAGTTAGAAATTATTAGATGATATTAGAATGAATTAAGAAAACAACTACACCTTGTATGATGTAATTAAATGTAATTCATTTCAAGATGTGTATTACTTCGGGCCTTCCTCCCAAATGTACAGACCGTTATTTTAATGATATACCGCTCAATGTCGCCTTATACCTAATAACTCTCTCAAAACAAACTCCGTTGTTAAAACTGGGATTTGAGATTTACACTGTCACTGTAGGTATGCTGGTTTGATATCACACATATCCAGACCCCTGTATACCTGCCATAAACCTTCCGTTACCATTCTACCATTGCAACAATACAATTAAACAACAACTACTGAGACGTTACTTTGTCATTGAACCAAACATCCAAGTTAGGCGCAAACAATGAAGGGCTCGTTAAATCATCATCAAAATCGTCACCACCACCACCACCACCATCACGGGCGGTGAAGTAGCCTAGTGGTTACAGCGTTCGCTCGTCACGCCGAACATCCGGGTTCGATTCATAACGTGGGTACAATGTGTGAAGCCAATTTCTGGTGTCCCCCACCGTGATATTGCTGGAATATTACTAAAAGCGGCGTAAAACTGAACTCACTCGTGTGAGGAGGGTGTATATCGTGTGCACATACCGACGGATTATTCAGACCTGATGTTCTCGCAATGCCCCGTACAGATTCCCTTTGTCTGAATGTCAGATATAAAACTTTGCAATAGACTGAATATTCATGTATGTTTGAAAGGAAGTCAGGGTAATTTAATGGTATGTTCAAGCCTCACTCGGCAACATTTGTAAAACACCGAGTCTGAACAAGGCAATCCTGTTGCTGACATCATTACCATCGATCTTCGTAATCCCCTACTAAAAACAACAATGTGTGAAGCCTATTTCTGGCGTCCCCTGCGTGATATTGCTGGAATAGTGCCAAAAGCGGCGTAAAATTAAACTCATTCACAACCTACCAAACAAACAACCAACAGAATGGGAGTGTACTCTATATGTTTATTTCACCTCTATATCAACGACACTCGCACGTACCCATCTATGGAGGATATACAGTGAAATGCATATGACTCGTCTCATGCTAACGTCTAGTCACAAAATTGATATTACAATCTTTAAAAAAACAGTCTGAATGTAAAAAATCTACCGCTAATTCACGAAATGTCTGTAAAACGAAATGTACAACATTTAACATCTAAACACACAGGTTTATACGTAGACAATAACTAACTGTATATATAGTCACGTATATATAACACGGTATATATTGTATTAATAACCAGTCTATAACGGAACAACAAACATGTTATTAACAAGTGATATAAAAGTACAACCTGATTAATAACACGCCACCATCAGGATTACACTATTAACTGATTCCTTTGTTTTAGGGGAAATAGTACATGTATTATCATTAGGGAATTAGTAATTTTTTCACAATTTCTGTTTTAATGAATGAATTAATTACCAAAACGAAACTTTTGACTTTTATTAAGATAATGTCTCTGAAAATATGAATGTATATGTATATGTCTGGAAGAAAATAAGTTTTTAAACATGACCTTGACCTTGACTTTCAGTTCACGCAGAAGAAAATGGATTTATTCATGGCTTATTAAATATAGGTTTATTTTGAATAAAAGCGTCAGAATGTCGCTAGTTACATATACTACTCGGGTTAGATCCCCAGAGGAATATACTACACTCTTAACATTAGTTTGGCTGTGTAGAATGTGTTTTAGAAGTTTCAAACCGGTTCAATCCTTTTGCCTTTTGCAATGGTCAGTTGTTGATTCAATTTTCGCTTTGAAAACTATGTACCTCAACACTTGTGGCAGGGATGTCGTTATCTCACATCCAATTATTCCTAGCAAAATTTGACTGGTATGAAAATACATACTATTGTTTAAAGGGGGACTCAATGCTGGCTGTTTGGCTGTCCCTTGAAATGTGAATAAAGTCTCCCAAACACCACCGCGACTGTCTGACCGTTAACAATTAAATATTGCGCTAACAGAGTCTGCGTCTCAGTTTCACAGTGACGGTTAATTCTCTAAAACTGGGCAGGTAAATGGCATGCGGTCATCAAGCGGAGACCTCCTTTAAGAGATACTAGGTTCTGTCACTAGTGGAGTCGTGCAAGTTTGAATCAAGTCATTCAGGACACCATTCCATCGCCTTCTAACAGATCCTGATCATCTAGTGCAATACAGAATTAACATGGTTCCAACCAGAAACGACGCTACGCCTAGACTGTATCTCGGCCATGATGTACCACTTCTGAAGGTACACATTACATGCGGCCTGTGGCAGGAGTTTAATACCGTTCCCATTAAGACAACATATAAAGTACAAACACTATAATACCCAATACCTGATACCTGTTAATATGAATAGATACAGTGACACACAACTATACTTGGTCAGTATATACACCGTATTAATGACCTTCCAGGGAAGGTTTGTATTGCTTGTGACACCACAGAATCCCAGCCTGTTGGTCAGTACTTGGTCATCTAGGACAACGAAATATACAAGACATAGCGGTCAGATTTATAGCATCAAACAACAAGGGCGTGAAAATCAACAAATTAACTAATGTGATTTGACATTCAGTGAGACTCTTTGATCCGGACGGTATTTGTCCATAGAGAAATAGTAGGTTCAACAAGTATCTGGATAAACGAATAATGATAGAATGATATGTGGTGTAATGAATATAAATGTGTGTGTGCGTGTGTGTGTGTGTGTGTGTGTGTGTGAGGGTTCCAATATGAAAATATCCGTATTAACAGGGTCTCACAGTAAACAATGTGTGTGTATGTGCATGCAGGAATGTTTGTATGTGTGTTTCTATATGTGTGAGTACGTGCATGAGTGCGTGTGCTAGTAAATTCCAAGATTCTAAAGGGTTCCAAAGTTATGATGTCCGGATTAACAGAGTCTCACTGTATACAACCACTGCTTCCACCACCAAACCTATTTATCACAAGCGTGTCTTCAGCATACACGATGTCTATTCACATGTGAATAGTAGAAAAAAACGATGAATCGTATAAAACAAAGGTTATAACAACATGGTGCGATGTTTTCAACATTTGAACAATGCTCTGACGTGTCTTATGTTTATGACGTCATTATTTACGTCACATGATGGTTTAACGAAGATATATCGACTATTTCTGAACTTTCTGAATAATTCTGATGTTCACCACCGCATGCAATACACAAACAGATGATACGTGTATTTATTGAATATACCACTAGTTAACATTAACATTAGTTAAGGACAACACCTTTGACCTTCTCAGTGGTATATTCATTGTGCATGTAAACTCCAGGACGTGTTTCATGATGTCTAAAATTAGAAACATCCTCATTAATGGTTCCTACAAAAGTCAAAATGACCCTTGTATACGACCGAGTCCGTGAAACATGCAAATTCGACATGGTCAGTGTGACAATAGAAAATGTCAAAGATGAATAATTTCATCTCCGATTTCCAACTGTCTGTTGCTAAAATATCACAAAAGGCGCTATAGGACTACTTTTTTGTGAATAGCTATTGCTGAAACTAAGGCACTTAACACACAACATATTAGGGGCGGACGTGGAAAAAAAACAAAACAACCAATCTTGACTTGCATAACTAGGAGTCAACGTCATCCGACAATTCTGCATGGGTATCTGCAGAACAGAGACAACTGAGACTATATACCCAACAGTAATATCAACTAGGTCCGAGATAGTTTTAACTAGTCAGTTTCTTCCTTTTCATTCACTCCGGGACTGATGTCGTGACTTGACTTCCGGTCCACGCTGAGACTAAGATGGCGGCAAGATTCAAACAGGCTCCCCAACATTGCCTCCGTTTATACTGATCATGTTCAGAGCTTCTGCCCTCCTTTTGTCACGGTTGTTTTGTGGAGCGAGGAGATATTGGAGTCGCTGATAAGAGATGAGAGAATTATTAATGATCATCAGACAGATCTTGTGGTTATACAATCCAGTCATTATGTTTGACATTATGCTCGTAGACAAGTCTGTACAGGGTCTTTTTGGGTTAATGTATACAGAATTCATGACATTTATATACTCCATAATGCAATTCAAGCATTGAAACTATGAAATGGACACTCCAAAGAAGAATATGCTATGGTAACTTTGTTTAACGCGGCAATCAGAAATATTCAGGCTTATGCCATCCTTAATACAATATGGACCTAATTCTCCAAAGTGATCTACAAAGTACTACGACCATCGTAAGCCCATATCAAAGGACAGGAGTTACGATAACATCAGCGATAAGATCGCATTCGTAGCGCTACGACATTCGTAAGTCTATGCTAAACAATAACGTTACGAACGCTTTGTGGCTCGGGATCCAGAGCCCTGGGCCCCGTTCTTCAACGCGATCGTAGCGCTACGATGATTGTAACTCCCATACTTTAACATAGGCTTACGACTGTCGTAGCGCTACGATAGCTTTGAGGAACGGGGCCCTGATCTTAACTTTCATAGGATACCTTCCGGCCAGGCAATCAGCGTCGGGGCATTTACATTATGGGTTCTATTGAGCGAAGTATTCAGATAAGAATAACTGATTTCTGTATCACGAAAACAAACACTTCCGATACTATAAAATAAAACGGTGCTGTGACATTGTAGATGATATTATTGTCAGCAGTTGGAACTGCGCTCAATGATCTACTTGATCACTAACGACGTTCCCGGATTAACAGGTTTCTGGACCAACCCAGCTTCTGAACTAACGAGGTTTCTGAACCAACGTGGTTTCTAAACTAACGATGTTTCCGGACTAACGGGGTTTCTTGACTAACGAGGTTTCTGGACTAACATGGTGTTTTGACAAACGAGGTTTCCGGACTAACGGGGTTTCTGGACAAACGATGCTCCCGGACTAACGGGGTTTCTGGACTAACGGGGTTTCTGGACTAACGAGGTTTCTGGACTAACGAGGTTTCAGGACAAACAAGGTTTCTGGACAAACGAGGTTTTAGGACAAACGATGTTCCCGGACTAACGGGGTTTCTGGACTAACGAGGTTTCTGGACAAACGAGGTTTCAGGACAAACGATGTTCCCGGACTAACGGGGTTCTGGACTCACGGGAATTCAGGACTAACGAGGTTTCTGGGCTAACGGGGTTTCTGGACAAACGAGGTTTCAGGACTAACATGGTGTCTGGACAAACGGGGTTTCTGGACTAACGAGATTTCTGGACTAACGGGGTTTCTGGACTAACGGGGTTTCAGGACTAACAAGGTTTCACTGAACATGTACAGCTACCCCGTGACTTACTTCCGTGAGCGTCCCCTCTCTGTCGTGATGATTCTGTAGATAGCAAATCCGGGTATACACAATATGGACGACAGCGCGATTCCCCAGCCAATTATCGAGGCCGGCCAAGGGTACACATACGAGTCATAGGTCAACGGCTCGTGTCCAATCAGACCGAACACCATAATGAACTGAAACAAATAACAATAATATAAGATATTTAGAAATATCATAACCCATACATTCACCAGTTCCAAAACAGTAAAATATCAAAGAGATAAAACATATTTTAGATATTCATCAATATTTTATTTAGGGGGTATAGGATATGAAAATAATTTAAATATTTGATGAGCTGATATTCAAAATCCAAACCTTTGATAGTTGTGAAAAAAGTAAAATGTTTTTTTACAGCCGACCTTCAATTGTCAGATTTCGAGCTCTCATGAAGGTAAAAATACTACTGTTCTCAAAGGGACATGTATATTCCTGAAGCAAAACCTGCGTGAACATGATTGTATTATCATTTATTATATTTTCAATTCCACACACTATGACAATGCTGCATTACCAGTTGTACTCTTGGCCACATGGCCTTCAATTCTGAATAAAGTGATTTGTTGATTTGTTGAAAAAGGAAAAAAAATAACTAAAGTATCAACATTATGGTAAAGTTCTTTGAACGGAATTTAGAATGAATACACATAAAAAGTTACAATGTATGGATGTGTACTTCTTGGAACACAATGTCTGGGGTATATTCGTACTCCTTCACCGGGTTAACGATGAAAGAATAAGAATATACCCCGAAATGTTGTGTTACAGATAATCTAGAAGTTGAAATCTTACCTTTAACCATTCTCTTCCCACAGAGGTTACTTGTTCCTTCGTAGGAAGATATGACAAGTAACCTTTGTGGGAAGATATGACAAGTAACCTTTGTGGGAAGAGAATGACCTTTAACATAATGATGAAGTTTCATTATTAAATTAGTATGAAAGAAATTATTAAGGTAGATTTTAAAATATTCTCGCCGTATTTTGGAAAGGAATGAATGTACGTTAATCTCCCCCTATAACCATTTATTTTATTTTCATGTTTTTACTCAAGATGTCCATTAAGAAAGTTTCTTTCGTAGCTTCACCGTCGACCGTTTTGAAGCCCACTCTGTGAAATGATTGCACATGTGGATAATTGAAGTAATTAAAGAATCACTAACGCTCTATGACGGACTATAGAACAACCAACGAATTTTGAGCAAATGGAACATAACTTATTTTGTTACTTGTTTAAGTGGCATTTAGAAACTGGTATGATAAAGAGGAACACTTTTTATGGATAGACAACTTCTTTATTGCAACATTCTGTACATCAACCTCGTCATTTGTATAAACTGAAATACCCGTCATGAATATATTTCTCCTTGTGTGTATGTTGTGTATCACTTGTTTGATAACGGTGTTAGGATCTACACCGAAACGTCGCATCTATTGCAATATAGAAGTTGTCTGGCCATAAAAAGTGTTCCTCTTTAACTTATTTGGTGCCTATTGCTCCTCGGCCTCTATACGTATTCCCGGCAGTTGGCCCACCCAACTCATGTCCCTGCTTGAGATGAGGAAACCGACATTTGTGTCATTCCCTGGCCCTCGCGCCAATGTATGTATGATGTATGTATGTATGTGTGTATGTATGTGTGTGTGTGTATGCATGTATGTATATGTGTGTGTATGTATGTATGTGTGTGTATGTGTGTGTGTGTGTGTATGTATGTATGTGTGTATGTGTGTATGTGTGTGTGTATGTATGTGTGTGTATGTATGTATGTGTGTATGTATGTGTGTGTATGTATAAGTGTATGTATGTATGTGTTTGTATGTGTGTATGTGTGTGTATGTATGTGTGTATGTATTTATGTATGTATGTATACATGTGTGTGTGTATGTGTATGTATGTGTGTATATGTATGTATGTATGTGTGTGTATGTACGTATGTATGTGTGTGTATGTGTGTATGCATGTATGTGTGTGTATGTATGTACGTATGTATGTGTATGTATGTATGTATGTATGTTTGTATGTGTGTGTGTATGTATGTGTGTGTGTATGCATGCATGTATGTGTGTGTGCATGTATGTATATGTGTGTGTGTATGTATGTATGTACGTATGTAGTGGCCTGTTGATTCATGTTTTAGAATGAATGAATGAATGAATGAATGAATGAATGAATGAATGAATGAATGAATGAATGAATCTACTGGCGACTCTTAATTACGAATTCCTACAGGTCCGGCTGTATCATTATTGATTAACTTTTGGACAGTAATGGGTGATTCCTCGTGATATGTAAGATATTCAGAAGAGCAGTGACCATACCACTAGAAACACGGGTGCGATGTATTTCCACACGATCCACCAGTAGGGCCCCGGCCGGTGTCCAACCATCACACAGATATCCTCGGAGAAACGATCCACTCCTGAAAACACAAAACGTCACGCCTATCTTAACACTTGTTGATTGTATGTTGTTTAACGTCACACTCAGCAATGTTCCAGCTAATTGACGGCGGTCTATGAATAATCTGTATGGACCAGACACTACAGTGATCAACAGCATGAGCACTGGTCTACACAAATGGGATACGATAGCTTGTGTCAACCTTGTCAGCAAGCCTGACTACCCGATCCTGTTAGTCGGATCTTACGACATGGATTGCTGTAGACCAGCTCAAGGGTTAATAGTTGTCGATTTCTTTCTCATAACCCTGGGGGCAGAATATAAGTCGACATAAATTCAGACCTTTCATTGTTTCTTTTTTTTGTGAAACGTCGATCTTATGAGCATGGTTTAGGTACATGTTTTCATGTCGCATTTGATTAAAAAACGTTTTACAATACTTACCATAGGCCCACGAGACGGCAAGAGTTTCGAAGAATACGGCGAACAGAATAGAATACCCGGCTGCAAACTTGTCAAACAGGGTGACGACATACACTCCCCCCTGAAACAGCAGAGTTAAATTCAAATATATTTATTTGCCAAACTGCCAACATAACTTTATACTTGTTTGTAGTCATATCTACCCTGTGTTAATGTTAAAAAGTTTAGAATAGCACTGGCACGATTCAGATGCTCTTCTCATGATTTGTTGATTGAAAGAGGCAGATATATGAATGTAAAAAGAGAAAATAGAATATGCACACTTTGTAATTTTAACGAAATAGAAGATGAATTACATTTTCTCCTAATATGTCCATTTTATGACCGGTTGCGAACAAAATATATTAAAAGATATTACTATGTCCATCCAAATGTGATAAAATTCTCCTCACTGTTAAGTAGTAAAAATCCAGTTCTTCTACAAAATATTTCAATGTTCACTTACTATGCTATGATTACCCGATCTAAATTCCTCTCAAATGTAACATAACTGTATGTACTATAGGCCTGTGACCTTCTCAGTGCAAATAAAGATTATTATTATACTTGTATGTTGCCTACCGCTGTATGCAATAGGACGGCGGCCTGTCAATAATCAAGTCCCTTTGGGGTCAGTGATTGGTGTTATGAACATCGATCACTCTTTGGGATCTGGTGACACATACGTCACCAAACCTGACCACTGGGTCTCTTCGGACGCCCCTTGCGACCAGCACAGGTTGCTGGACACATATTTTAAGCCCAGAACGGTCACATAAGAGGTCGAATAAGAGGCCGCACGTTTATATCTAACCGGATCTATGCATTAATTAAGCAACACCCTATTTTGAAAATAAGATGTGATGCTACAGAAAAGTTAGGGTATAGCCATCAATTTAATCAAACTATAGTTAAAGTCTCTTTATCCACTGACAGTTTTACAAATACTATAACCTTTTCTATTCTTTATGAAAAATGTGTTGATGAAAATGTGATGGGGCTGAATTTTTACCCAAAATAACTATTCCTCTCCTGCTCAAACTACACAATTAAATTAAGTTTTGACTAAAAATAACAATTCTGTTATATACCAAGATGACATTTACACATCAAGTAAGCTTTAACTATAAATAATCGGCAAGAACCCGAATGTCAAAGATTCAGACCTTTTTCCAACAATTCAGATTGCTAATTGACAAAAAAACTGAAAAAGATTTTCTAATTTGTATTTTTTATGATTTTGAATTTATTGTAATGAATAAACACTTCTCCTTGCCGGATACTGATAATTACAGCTTGAATCTGTTTCTTTTGCTTGTAAAGCAACTGCATTTTAAAATGTTCCTTTTTTCCAGTTTGACTGTAATTTTTCAGAAATGTTAGTTTACAAACTTTCATCCATTCACAATAAATAACGAATTTATAGGCCACACAACAATCAATTATTACTTTCACTTTTCAAAATACGGTAACTTGTTGTAGGAAAGAAAAACAGCTGTTTTAAATATAGGCAATTATCCTAATTAAAATACATGATAATATCAATAATGTTTTCGATTTTGAAATGTTAAATGCTTCCTCTATCAAATTATAAAGGTTATTTTTTGGAAAGAGTTTAGAATTTCATTTCAAACAATATTAATTGGTAAAAATATAGGGTGGTGCTTAATTTATGCTCAGATGTATAGTATCACAGTTTGGGCTTGACGCCAAATTAGCTGCGCAAACCAACCATGTAGCCAGTCTAACGTCACCAACCCGTTATGCGCCTGACCGGAACTCGTTTGCGCATAGACCGTCTAGCAACGTTATCCACTGGCAGAAAGGGCTTTTGACAAGAATTTAGGTAGTGATGTGGTCCTGTGCATAGAGCTCAGGGCCCCATTCCTCAAAGCCATCGTAGTGCTACGACGGTTGTAAGTGTATGTTAAAGTATGGGAGTTATGATCATCTTAGCCCAACGATCGCTTTGAGGAACGGGGCCCAGGTCACAAATCAGTTGGAGTTGGGCAACGTTGGGCGCGGAGACTCCTTATACGGGTGACCGTGTGTGACAGCTTGACTCCTGAGAGGTTCTAGTCCTGCCCCACAACGAAGCACATGTGACACACGTTGCCTCACCTTGGGCACGTTTGTTCAAAATTGCTTCTTTTCACCCAGCAGAAAATGGGTACCCGGTGGGATAAGTCATATGGCTATAACCTTCTAGCGCCTAACAGGCAGCTTGGGTTATCCGGGGTATTGATGTGCTAGCGCTTTGAGCATGCCCAAGTGTGTAGAAATAGACACTATATATAAGGCCATTATTATCATTTACCTTAGCACAGCTGGCGAGTCCCACGAAGAAGTAGAGAATGAACAACCCAGCCACAAACAGTTCGCGGTGTTTTTTGAGGCTTGGGAACTCATCACCAACAGCCGTTAGTATAGCCTCAGATCCACCAAACTGCGGAAGAGAGGTCCCAGTTGGCACATTCACATTAAAACATCCACATCAACTTGTAAAACCTGTTTGCAACTGTTAATAAAGATAAATTACAAATGTTATGTCATAACTTTCAAAAACAACTGGGCACGGAGAAAGGATTTATAATACAAGAAGTTCTAACGAAAATGTCAAAATGTTTATAACGAACAGACAGATATTACAAAATGCTTCACGTAACGTGAATGTAATATGATGTAAATGCAATGCAACGTAACGGAACGCAAAGTGACGTAAATGTAATGTCACGCACATACAAGGCAATACGATGTAGTGTAATGCTATGTAATGTAATGAATTTTAATGTAATGTAAATGCAATGCTATGCTTATGCAATGCAATTCATCGTAGCAATGTAATGTAATGTGACGTAAATGCAATGCAATGCGATGCAGTGTAATGTTATGTAATGTAATGCTATGTAAGAGTTTTAATGTAATGTATTGAATTTTAATGTAATGTAAATGTAAAGTGATAAAATGCAATGCAACGCAACATGAAGTAAAGTAATGTGATGTAAATGTAATGTGATATAATGCAATGCAACGCAACATGAAGTAAAGTAATGTGATGTAAATGTAATGTGATAAAATGCAATGCAACGCAACATGAGGTAAAGTAAAGTAATGTGATGTAAATGTAATGTGATAAAATGCAATGCAACGCAACATGAAGTAAAGTAATGTGATGTAAATGTAATGTGATAAAATGCAATGCAACGCAACATGAAGTAAAGTAATGTGATGTAAATGTAATGTAATGCAATGCAAAGCAATGTAGTCATGCCAATTTAAATAAGGCAATTCTCAGTAATGTAATATTTTACTATCTCCTATTATACAGCATCGGTTGTCGATATGGTGTAAAGCCATCAGTACTACCTGACAATATGATATATTACGTGCTGACATGGAAAACATTGAAATGCACACTCCAGTTATTGCCCTGTTCATTTTATGTTCCATATTGATTATCTTCCATCAATTAAATCTACTTCAGAACTCGCCCCGAGACAACACACTAACACTTTACGCTCTCAGTAAGAATATGGCAGATCCTAATCACACTGAAGGACTTTTATCGTTTTTACCTGTCCAACAAAGCAATGATTGTGTGTGCTGCTATTTTCGTCAACAGGACAACAGGACAGTGTTTTCACCGACGAGACAAGTATCCAGGACTTGTATAATCCTCAACATCAACCCTGTTCAATGTTTATGGCCGTGGACCATACTTTAACGCCCGTTTTTAGTAGTGACTCTGATATTGATCACGTACAAGCTCCGGGTACCTCTTAATTGTCCGTGTCGACGACGTCATATTTGCCTTCTGAAAGACCCTTCTCTTTGTTCATGCCATACCGGAAGTTGAGTAGTGGCGCGATCGACCGGCGTTAATAGCAAATGAATGGGAAAATGCCTGCCTCCAATGAAGTAAACGGACAATCTGGTTTTAGAGCAGAATCTAGTGGTAAAATCGACCAAGAATCTCTTGCTTCGACGTCGGCCATCTTCAAGAAGGTTTGGACTTCCGGTTGTTCGGACTCTCCGCTAGGTGGCGTGAGAGTGCTGTATCAACACATGTACCACTTATGCATCTTGTTGGTAATGATAAGATACTTGGCTCTGAATAAATATTGGAAAGATCTGCATCAGTGAGTGAGCTTTGGGTGGTCTATTGCTTGTTTGGTAATAGTCATGAAGTTATTTACCATATCGTCAACGATCAATCGCGCACTCTAAACCTCCCTAATGAATACAGAAAGCATGTAATTGTGCCAGATTCTTGACAAATCAATTCAGAACTGCCTGGTCAATTAGCCACACACTTTGGTACTTATAATTCTACTAGACAATTGTCGTTTAATTGTATAGTTGGTGATGGTGGTTGATGATTCAATATTAGTTTTACTCGAACATGCCACGTATGACATATATTCGATTTTGTACATATCGTCAGGATTGACGAACAAACGCGTGATGTTTTGACTTTAAATGTATCGATATTTTCTTGAGAAAACAAACTGGCGCATAACGTCATTAGATGACAAAATGTTCGGATATGTATTTAATCTAACCTTTACGGAAGTGGGACCCATGCCGATAAGCTGCCCGGTCAAAACAACATACAATGTCATATAGAAATTGGAGTTGACCAAAATGTTGCAAGGCTGAACACCGTGCAACGAAACAATGACGATTATAGGCACATAATATAAATATTTAGATGTGATACCCTAATCAAGTACATCACCAGTGAATAACATGTTCTTGTTTGTTTCCATTTTTAGGCTCCATTAGGCAAGGTTGTATATTTCCTTTCGCGAGTCACAACAAACAGAGGCATAGGGAAGCCGCGAATTATTTCCCTATTTAATGATCTGCACTGTGATGTTAATTGAGTGAGTGAGTTAGGTTTTACGCCGCTTTTAGCAATATTCCAGCAATATTACGGCGGGGGGGGACACCAGAAATGGGCTTCACATATTGTACCCACGTGGGGAATTGAACCCGGGTCTTCGGCGTGTCGAACAGACGCCTTAACCACTAGGCTACACCACCACCCCTGAAGTTGATGGAAGCAAGGATGACAAATCTGTGCTGAGAGTCTCATATATGCAGAGCTTCCGACCCCAAGAGGAAAAAGAATTTGAGATGTTGGGGTCCAAAGGCCACAGGCCCTGGTCGGGTGTAGGATGGAGCCTACTTGGGGCTTCAGGGGAGGGGGGCAAATACTTGCAAATTCCCTTCTCAGAAAAGTCACTGAAAACGATGCATTCAGACCTATTTGTGTGATTTTAAGCTATTATTTATATGAACCCAGTTTTGCCGTGAGAGCGTGACATGAGTGATAAAAGCGTGAGTCTCCAGCCAAAGGCGTGATAGTTGGCAGCTATGTCGATAGTAAGTCATTCACATCGGTGGGTGAATAGAGTAAAAGTTATACGAGCATGTTTAGAAGCAGATCTAGAGTGCAGAGAAGCACTGTGTTGTCCAAACAACGAGCGAATTTAACTTAAAACAGGTTTGCCGACATTACAAATATCTGTGAAAGACGTTTAAGCCAATCGTCTTCCAGCGTGTTTTTCTTCTCGTAAATAATGGGTTTTGTGTCGGAATGAAATATTGATCAATAAAGTAGCTGCATTTTTTATTATTTTTGGTAAGGTGTGTGTGTGTGTGTGTGTGTGTGTGTGTGTGTGTGTGTGTGTGTGTGTGTGTGTGTGTGTGTGTGTGTGTGTGTGTGTGTGTGTGTGGATCACGTGACATACTCAGTATTCGAAAATGTTTCTTCAGGTTTCATTCACTCACTTGACATTCCGCCTGGTTTGGAAAATGTTTGAGTTGTATATGTAAACAATTTCTGTGATATTTTAGAGATTATTGTTGTTGTTGTTATTATTGACAAGTGGTTGTTACTCACCGAACTGTCCAGACCCAGGGTCAGCAACATGAGGAAAAATATGACGGCCCAAAACGATGACCAAGGGAACGTGGCTATAGCTTCCGGGTAGCGTGGCTATAGCTTCCGGGTATACGATGAAAACAAGGCCAGGTCCTGAAAGGAACATGAGCAAAACGTGTGGCACGATGGAGCAATTTTGAATTAGTCACAAACAGGACAAGTGAGCGTTTAACTTGTGTTACCATTGCAGACTAATTAAGCACCGTATAAGAAGTAACGGCTTCAAACTATCGTGGTAACTTTTTCGTTGAGTATCAGGGATTTTGCGGATACAGCTTTTGAGAAAGGGGAAGTAACGCACACTCTTGGGAAAGGTAGATGTGTGTGTGTGTGTGTGCGTGTGTGTGTGTGTGTGTGTGTGTGTGTGTGTGTGTGTGTGTGTGTGTGTGTGTAAACGTGCATGTGCGCGCACACACATTTCATTTTCACGGGCCATTTAACAAACTTTCAGGACAAAAGAGGGTGTGTGCGTGCGCACCCCTGCACCCCTTCTGGATTCACCTATGAGTATGCTTTCAAATATGTCGTGGGCGGTAGGGTAGCCTAGTGGTTAAAGCGTTCCCTCGTCATGCCGAATACCCGGGTCGATTCCCTTCATGGGTATAATGTGTGAAGCCAATTTCTAGTGTACCCCGCAGTGGTATTGCTGGAATATTGCAGGAAGCGGCGTAAAACTAAATTCACTCGTTTGAACAGGGTGTATATCGTATGCACATACCGACGAATTATTCAGGCCTTACCGTTTATTCTTTGTTGTTTTCATGTTTTTAGTTCCAAATGCCTGTAATGTAATGTAACTCACTCACTCACTCACTGTTAAGAGTGATCTTACCGCCGGTGGCAACCTTCTCGATAGGTTTGTTAGATCTAACGGACATGTAGCCCAGGATCATGAAGATGACGAAGCCTGAAAAGAAGCTGGTCAGGCAGTTGATGGTACTTGTGATGAGAGCGTCCCTGAAAAAGACGAAACAGGAATGATACACACATCTAAATGATTTGTTTCATCGAAAATGAATATAATCGGATAGTGCCGAATGTAGAAAAAAAAAAACACCCGTGAAGATCCGGGTTACAATTGGTATTAGCGACCCATGTTTGTCGTAAGAGGCGACTAACGGGATCGGATGATCAGGCTCGCTGACTTAGTTGACACATGTCATCGTATCACAATTGCGTAGATTGATGCCCGTGCTGTTGATCACTGGATTGTCTGGTCCACCTTCGATTATTTACAAACCGCCGCCATATAGCCGGAATATTGCGGTGTGGGGCGTTAAACAACAGAATAGCACCCAAGTTGATATTCTAAACCGGTATTTTATGTGAAGTGCAAATGTGTGTACATGGTCGGCAAGGGAGATATGCTTAAACGTACCGGCCAAAAATACTTTATAAATCCTCCTTACTGTGGAGGGGTTCAATAGCTTGTGGTGATCGGGTATTGTTTATGAAAACATTGCCCCCTTAACGAATCTATCCCCAGGTGAACCGACACGCGTCTAACGTCAGCCCTCGGACACGAACAAAGAGAATGTATTATCTACTGACTCTGGTGATTTATGGTTACAAGGTACTGTGAACGCAAAACAAATATGTTTTCTTTTGTCACTGGATTGTTGATGGTGTTCTAACTCATGAGTTAGTGGGGAAATCGTTTTGATCAAGATTTTGATCATATATATACTCATGCCAATAATGGTTGTCACCCCCTTAAATTTTTTTAATTGGAGAGGGGGTGTGGGGTGGGGTTGTGAGGTGTGTGTGCGGGGAGGGGATGACAACCATTATTGGCATGAGTATATATAGTATAAATGAAGTAATCAGTTAAAACTTGTACGTATCCATTACGCTTATCCATGACATGAATAACATGACCGAATTATTGATCACTGGAATGTTTATTGTCCATATATTATGTCTGCCTTATATATGCATGTATAAATGGAATAATAATAATAATAATAATAATAATAATAATAATAATAATAATAATAATAATAATAATAATAAAAATATATAATGGCGTAAGTGCTTCAGGAAAATGCGGACACCAAATTGACGCACTTGAAAAAAAATACTTTTAAATGGTGAATATATCAAGGCGGAGGCATTTTGGGGCTGTGGGGTGGTAGGTTCGTGAGAAGCAAGGAATTTACATAAACAAGTCTAATTTATACTAACCATCAAAAGTTTAGACTCACCTAAAGCACTCACTATTTGTTATGTATATATATCTGGTTACATCGGAGATGAATTTCTGTACTAACTTGGGGGAACGAACTGCAAACTCTATGCAGATGAATTGTACGAGGATCATGCATCAAATTGCTAAAAAGCATGTGCAAATATCGTTCATGTGAACAGCTGCGTTTTGGTGTAAAGTTTTATAAAGAATTCGCCAATTTTCACTGATTTTCATCATTTACTGAACTCATGACAATAAACTTGTCAAGGTTACAAATTTGTTTTACAATATATTAGTTTATGTGTAAACAGTAGTTTCAAACTGAATGGAATATTTTGCAAATTCAAGAACAGTTGACTGAAGTAAGTCGCTACATTCACACTAGTGAGTCTAAACTTTTGATGGGTAGTATATTTAAAAAGCGACAGAACCTTCTCCGTGTTCAGGAGAAATATATACTAAGAGCAGGGTTGATATTACGATTCAGGTAATGATCGTATAGAATCTTCAGATCCTGGTACGATTAGGAAACGTAACTCTATAAACTTTCCTTTTGGATCCAACGATTTCAGGAAGTAGAGGGTATACATCTCTGCCACGTGGAATTGTATACAAATCACCAGAAACTTCTTTGATTGGCATTCTAGAAGTTGGGTAGATGAAGAATGAGGACTATTTTCATGGATATACAAGTTTTGTATTCTATAATAAGTGACGTTTCGACATAGATTCTAATGTCGTTGTCAAGCAAGTGGTTGACAACGACATTAGAATCTATGTCGAAACGTCGCCTATATAGAATAAAGAAATTGTGTCCATGAAAATAGTCCTCATTCTAAATCACCAGAAACTCGAACTTATCCTAGTTTGTCGAGAAAGGAATAATAAAAGGATGAATCGATAGATGAATAAGCCAATGAGTCTCGGCTCAAGCAATATCACAGTGGGGGACACAAGAATTCATTGCTGGGAATCGAAGCTATGGAAATGGGAGTGATGAGTGAAAGAGTCCACCCCAGCGCCATGAGAGATAATGGATGCGATAACAGCTTCTATGTATAAGTACATGTTTACAGAAGAATTTGATGTTGCTGGAATATTGCTAAAAGCGGCGTAAAACCCTACTCACTCACTCACGCACTCTCTATAGGTGATATCAAAAGAATTCACATAAACGTTTTGGGCGGTTGAAAATAGAGACGGCTGTTCTGATGTCAGAACTTATATCTGTCCGGTTACACAACGTTATTTCGCGACCATTTACATAAGAGAATGATCTAACGATACGACGTTGCAGCAAGCTACAACGTCTCCTGCACCACAGCATTTCTCCATCTAAAGAGACAATCATCACCCATTTATTGGCAAAATATCACAGTCCAAATCCTTTCAAGTTTTACACCTTTCACGAAGGACAAAGTGGAAGTGACCTTTGCAGGGCAGGCGACTTCCGGTGTAGCAATTAACCATACTATAAGAGTGATGGCCAATTATGACGTTTGTATTGCCCAGTCTCTGGTCCAAGACTCGCGGCTTTGAGTAATTTTAACTTAAGTTGACAGTATTGCCAATCACAGTCTAGAAACGGTTTCCGTTCCCTTCAGAAATATCGCCCTCTGCATAATGTCCTGGCTCGAGGGTATCCAAAGATGAGCGCGTGACCCCACATCAATTCCCGCCATTCCTCCGCAGCTCTAATCTCTAACCAGCCTTCCTCAAGTGCTCAAGGAAACGCCCCATTGCCTACTGTCAAAAGTTAATGAAATTTGGCGGGAAATTTTTCCTGTATTTTTTCTCTTCCATTTCCAGAAACTCAGGCATGAGAGCCATATTGGCATAATCGATGACATCTCGTCGTCCAATATGGCTGCATTGTCCTTTTTGTCGTCTGCTTCTTGAAGGACGAATTTGCGCCAATAATTCTCGCTTTCCAAAGGCTGGCTTGTGTAATGAACCCACAAGACAAGATTTCGCCATTTGTAGCTGAAACATTTGACGGGTCATGAAGAACGCTATTTGAACTGAATGCTGTGGGTCGATCAGCGAGTTATCGTCAGATCAAACACGCATGTACTCCGTGGATTCGTGGGCTAAGTACGTTCTAAAATTAAATGTCCTCTACCCTTGTCTGCAATCTCCACGACTCGTGCCTGGTTCTGAAATCTTTCCTGGCAACGGACTGAATGTATATGGTAAAAGGGTGGAAACAGTGTTTTAGCGAAAGTCGTCGCGAATGTAATGGATAGACAGTCACACATTTACCTTTCTCAACACGGCTGACATTATAAAATATACATATAGAATCAGACGGACGGACAGGCAGACAGACAGACAGACGAAGTGACCTTTTGCGTGGTTTTGGTAACGCCAGCCCACCAGCCAGCCTACTCTTCTCACCTGTACACGTTGTTGGTGATCGGGTTATAGCTGGCGAAGGCCAACAAGACCCCGAAGCCCGGCCCCAGGGAGAAGAATACCTGTGTAGCGGCGTCAACCCACACCTGGTACAAAGGGAGAGAACCATGTCAGTTGCTGTCACTATTAATATCAATACATATGGTGATTGACCTTGGTGTAGAAGGAAAGATTACGTCTTTGTTGCTATGCATATGTAACATTTCTGGATACACTATACAGCTCGTCTCGTGTGACCTTGAACATCAGTTCTTTGCTCTTCAGCTGAGCTTAAGGTCGTAGGCTTGTGTTTGTCCAGTATGTATCGGAAAATACAGAATAGACTAACATATATATGCCTCTAAAGGCCTTCCAAAGACGTTAGACTAACATATTGTGGTATTATCTATATGTGTGGTTATTCTCAGTACAATTGCAAAACTTGGTAAGTTAGAATATAGTTGAGACATCAGGCAGACGGGTGTCTCCCCATCTATACCACACCAGCCCACTCACATCAGGCTCAGCGAGGCGGGTGAAGTTAGGGTTGAGGTAATACTTGATACCCTCCGCAGCCCCCGGGAGCGTTGCGCCTCTCCCCATCAGGATCAGAAGCACGGCATAGGGGAACAAGGCTGTAAACCACACCACCTGGAATACACATTTAGAGTTACCCCCCTTGTTCGATATGGCTTGGACATGCTGATATTTTGAACATCATTAATGTACCATTACCTTAAGACAAGAAGAACGTATATACATGTATTTAAATCGTTGTTAAGTAGGCGGGTAGCAATTATGCAATAAATTTAGAGGCGATATTGAAAAGAGTCTGAAATCTCTTGGCCAATGAGGCAGTTCACATGTAAAGTGTCTGAAAATGGACGGGTGTGCACCCTAAGCTTTCCCCTTAATTATGGGGGTAGCAGTAATGCATTAAATTTAGAGGCAGATAATAAAAAAGGTTTGCAGTCACTTGGCCCAAGAGGAGGTAACATGTAAGGTGTCTGAAAATGGACGGGTGTTCAACCCAGAACTCCCCTTAATTACAATGGCTTCCTTTAGGTTTGAAAGAGTTACATCCCTTTCAGGAAGTAAAAGCAGAGTTACCTTCCCAGAAGTGTGGATCCCTTTCCACAAACTGAAGTAGCAGATAACATAGACTCCCAGGAGACACAGGACAAGCTGCCACTTTAGTCCCCCGACGGCAAACAGGCCCTCGCTCTCGTGCATCTCCAGGAAGCCGCGCCTGCAAGTTAATGTAGAGTTAAAGGAGACGCTCAGGTTCCTCCGGAACACGACCAGAACACCGAAATGTGGAATGCTTTGACTGCTAATGGCTGAAGAAGGTAAATTCGACCATTCGCTTCCGGAACAAACACATTTACATCCAATAAAAGTAGAGACTACTAACATTATAGTCTGTTGAGATCACTAGCATAGTGGCCTTTACCCCGCTTCCGTAGGTGTATTAGGCTGAAACAGCCAATACATATATTTTATAACCCCGACTTTTAAGAACCTATCTAAATTAGATGTAGACATGAAAATGCTGTCTATAATATGAGTGAGTTAATGAGGTTTTATTTGAAGCGGTAATTCCCCTACTCCAATAGCTCCTCGACTCACTCTGACAAAACGCCATATTGGAGATAGTTTCGTGCACGTGACTAACACGTGAGACAAAACCAACACTGAGTGAGTGAGTTTAGTTTTACGCCGCACTCAGCAATATTCCAGCTATATGGCGGCGGTCTGAAAAATAATCGAGTCTGGACCAATCCAGTGATCAACAGCATGAGCATCGATCAACAAAACCAACAGATGGAAGTGGTATTATATAACTGTTCACATTGCTTCTGTTTAATTCTTCATTTAAATCAATGAGCAAAGTTAGCTAATTAGCAGGTAATAACGTGTTACAAATGGATTTCGTGTGACACAGTTAGGGCGATGGGGTAGCCTTGTGGTTAAAGCGTTCGCTCGTCACGACGAAGACCCAGGTTCGATTCCCCACAAGTACAATGTGTAAAGCCCATTTATTCCTGAAATATTGCTAAAAGCGCCATAGAACCTAAACTCACTCCATCACTTACAGGCAATATCGCTTCTCGAAACTGCCGATTTGTAAACCGATTACGTCCGAAGGTACTACAGTGAGCGGAATATACCGAGTGGGGCCGAACATTAATGTCTGATCGGAAATATCGGGAACAGGCTTCAGAACGTTCATGCTAATTGTAATCGTATCTTGAATTTGACGGGGAAACATTTGACGACCATGGCTGAACTCATTATAGAGCTCCACTAGTATCGAGGAGTATTTAAGAGAGCAAGAGCGATCATAATGCGCCTGAGAGCAATGATACTGCATTAGTAAATAGAAGCGACAAAACCCTTTCCACATTCAGAAGAAATCTCTGTCCAAACTAGAGTCGATTGTACTCATGACTATATCATGAGCAGATATTTGCTTCAGCAGTATAAATGGCTAGGGCTGGGACCAGACGGGGGTCATAAAGATGCGATATCATTAATAATAAAACATACATTTATAGAGCGCACAAATTAACAGCCTTGATGTGCTCTGTATGTTCATTACTCTTTCATTACCAAAACAAAAATATATACATCTAGCAAAAGAATGATTTTTGCATACATAATATAGCGAACATAGAACCCCAATCAGTCATGGCCGCCTAAAGATTCACACTATAAACCACGAGATGGAATATCAATTTTTCACGATTCTTAATAATCACAGTCACACTCTGAGATGAAAAATACCAATAAACCAATATATAAGAGCCACGCATGCCTGCAAGATCAATGGCTAGTAAACTGATACAAGAGAAAATCAATTGAGTATGTTTCTCTTTGAGATGAGTTCATTGAAAGTGTACTCTTTAACCTCTTCCTGCCACAGAAACAATGGCGCCCTAACACACCCCATCTTCGATCTTGATTGTACACCGATTTCCATGTCAGTAAGTTCATTCTAACATGTTAAAGTCATGGACAACATTTCAGGCGTGTAGCGCTGTTTGATTGTCTGTTAGTGGGGCTCTCATCGACTGATGTGGGAAAAGGTATTGGTCATCAAAGTTCACAACACAGAATCTTATTATTATGCCCAGGAACAGAGGGGCGGTGGGGTAGCCTAGTGGTTAAAGCGTTCGCTCGTCACGCGGCAGACACGGGTTCGATTCCCACATGGGTACAATGTCGTAATGCCAATTTCTTGTGTCCCGCGCCGTGATGTTGCTGGAATATGGCTAAAAGCGTCGTAAAACTCACTCACTTATTCACTCCAGTATTAGATGTTTTGGGAAAGATTCTTCACTGTGTTGAAAAATGGGCGCGCTATAACACCGCTATGTTATAGCGTTAAGACATTGTTAATAACACGAGGTATTAAGTAAACTACGCATGACACAAAGACCGCCGTCATATAGCTGCAATATTGCTGAGTATGGCGTTAAATAACAAACAAACACAATTTGCAAACTTCGCAAACCAGTCACACACTGAATCGGAAAAACAGAAACATCAACAACTGACAGAGCCTCCTCAGCAAGCTTTTTTTAATGAAATTTTCAATTGCAAATTCCAGGAATGGAAACCAACAAGAAACCTATGACCTTAGTTTCTTGTTGGTTTCCATTTACAGAAATACAAAAATCACAGAATCCAAAATGGAATCTAGTTGGAAACTCAGTTACCCAGTTTCAGTGAATGGAAACCAACTGGATTCCCCAATTACCTACTATACGGATGGTTTCCAGGTTTCGGGAAACAAAGTCATTTATGTAGTGAAGTCTTTCAGTTGAAAGATTTTCTTTGAATTAGAATAGAAGATTGATATCAGTACTAAAACCTGACACAAATCAATATTTATAAATCCAGTATATTTCAAGACGCCCAATGTGAACCATTTAGGGTGCAAAATTCATTGTTATAAAAATTCATGATGATGATGATCAAAATAGTGGTGGTGATTATGATGATAATCTATTAATGCATTCATTCAGTCACAGAAAACACAACGGACCACAGTTTTTCTATCTGAGATTAACGAGCTATCTTCGCGATGATAAGTCTGTTTATACACAGACCATTGCTGCCTTAAAAGTCTTTCTTGCTGCTAATGTCAGAATAAACATGCATGCGAAATAATTTCCTCTAGTTATATTTTATTGCCCGAGTTTGCTGCCAATGCGAAATGTTTAATTGTGATTAAATGGATTTTCCCACCAGCACCGTAAGAAATAAGACATTTCCAATAATTATATTTGTTTTATTTATTTGCCTTTAGTGGGAACGTTTTTCAAGCGAAAAGCGTTATCGAAATTGGTAAAGTAAGAAGTTCTGTTTTGCGGAAATATGTTTCACCTATGTATAAAGACCAGAGTGACAAAAAACATGGCTGACAGGAGGAAAGACTTGTTCTCTCCAAAAGTCAATTTCCATTTGTGTTGAAGAACGCTGCTATCCACATTTCACAACTTTTGTAGTACAAGGGAAATTGCTCTGTCTATACAGATTTCAAAGAGCGCAGTACGACTCTGGCTCACAAGTTAGTGAATCGGGTTTGCAGTATTCGAGGAATTTTATAAATCTTATAAAATGTTTTTGGATTAAAAATGGCGGACATTCCCCATAACGAGGCACCATTGACCAAATGCTGGCCAACGCAATTCCTTGTTGTCACTTATATGATATCGTCAAATGTCATCCCAGGTGATCTTGACTTGCCTTCGCATGTGTTTGAGACATATTTGTGTTTGGGACAGCATACGCTCACCTTCCTACGATACACCCGGTACCACCAGCGTGCGATTATGATATAGTCGATTATGATAAGTATTTCAATAGATAATTCTTATAACTGACAACGCAAAGCTCTTGCAAACTTCAACATCAACTCCACCCCATATAACCTGGTTTGTACCTTGATAGGTGAAAGGTAATAGTCGGGAAACGTGAAGAACGGGGAGTTAATCCAAGAATAATTCATGTATAAACACATATTTTATAAAAGCAGCGAAACATTCCAGAATGATAAGAAGTCCCCCTGAACGCCGAGTTCACTGTACGATTCAGAACATGTGTTAATGAGTGAGTTTGGTTTTACGCCGCTTTTAGCAACATTCCCGCAATATCATGGCTGCGGACACCAGAAATGGGCTTCACACATTGTATCCATGTGGGGAATCGATCCCGGACCTTTGGCGTGACGAGCGAACGCTTTAACCACCAGGTTACCCCACCGCCCCTCATGTGTTAATGAATCACTATCATAAAGTGATGATAGCAGGTGTTCGCGGAAAGCTGAGCAAATCCTGCTCCACCTGTGCCAACATTCACAAACACGTGCAAATGATGTTAGATCATTACGTTTAAATGTCAGTAGGGTAGACTCATGGTATCACAGATAGATGTAGTTGGCATACTGACTGACTGACTGAGTTTGGTTTTACGCCGCTTTTAGCAATATTCCAGCAATATCACGGCGGGGGACACCAGAAATGGGCTTCACACATTGTACCCATGTGGGGATTCGAACCCGGGTCTTCGGCGTGACGAGCCAACGCTTTAACCATTAGGCTACCCCACCGCCCCTAGTTGGCATACGATAATAGAGTGAGTAAGTGAGTTTAGTTTTACGCCGCTTTTAGCAATAATCCAGCAATATCACGGTGGAGAACACCAGTAATGGGCTTCACACATTGCACCCTTGTAAGGAATCGAACCCGCGCCTTCGGCATGACGAACGAACGCTTTAACCATTAGGCCACCTCTACTATTTTCACTGGACTATTTTCAAGTAAATACAAGCAAGTAGTTAATCTAAATAGACAGCTGAGTTGAGATAAAGGCGACTTGCTGAGTGCTATGACACTAATGTCTTTTGAACTGCTGAAGTTGCAAAATATATACTATTTCACCACTATAGAGTGTTAATGTAGAGGGTTTGTAGCTTTTATGTACTTCAGCATGTATAATAATGATAGTGAGCAAACTGGTTCAGCTCATCATCAGCATGTAATTCAGACAGCGAATGATGATGTTGTAAAACACAGTGTCATTTCTAGAACTGAAGATGTATTCAAGACCAAAATCTGCGGATCCTGGCACGACTTAGGGGACACAATACTTCATACTGAATGTTTATCAAAGACAACTGGCATACCACGCACACAGGATAGAGAATTCTTTCATTTACTGCAACGAGTGACGACAGTGTCA